TTCTATGGAATACTTAAGATGGAGAAGGACCTTTTTTGTTTTTTATATAAATCTCTTTATCTTTGTTGGTGGAAATTTTTAATGAACATGTTTCATACAAATTTGTAAAATTTATACTGACAATTCCAAGAAACTTTATTTTTTTAAACCCGGCCATTAATAGGGGAGATAAAAAGATTTATGTAAACACAAAACAAGGTTATACTATACAGGGTGTTTCACGCTCGTTCTCCATTGACAGTTTCTGGGGAAAGGCAAAAGATATCGATTTGAAATTTTTAAAGCGTTTATAATCCAATTAAGCCTATATTTTGAACAGAATGCCACTTCCTGTTTGACCGGAAGTGACTTCAACTTTGTTATTTTAAATATAACACCCCATATACTTTTACATTTCTAAAATCGAAATATATTTACTATACCATGTCCTATACCTAAAGTGAATAGTTTTCGAGTTATTAATTTTATTCTTTAAAATATGATAATTACCCGTCAATCAAAAATAGCCTATAACTTTTTTGCTATTAGGTTTGCGGAAATGGGGGTAAAATTTTATGAATCTAAAAACATTGTTTAAAAGATTCCATGTCAATTCTTAAACATTTTTCAACAAATTTCCCAAGAAAATTTTCTGGGTAAACCCAGCTGGGTTTAGGCAAATTAGGCCAACTTGAAACGTTAATAACATTTTTCTTTTCAATGTTACACCCTGTATGTTTTTACATAATTAAATAAAAAATAAAAAAAAATATTTTAATTGATGTACCTAACTAATAATTTCATAGATATTTATTAAATATTATTTAACAATGTCTAATATGAGAAATGCTTAAATGTACGAGGTGTGTTCAGAAAATATCGGGAATTTTCGTTTTTTGAAACAAATATTTATTTATTCGTCTACATTAATGTTGTCGCCTTCAAAATAGTCCCCATTGGATATTATGCACATGTGCCAGCTCTTCTTCCAATACTCGAAACACTTCTAAAACTCGATCTTTGGGATAGCCTTTAGTTCTTTCAGCGATGCGCTTTTAATGTCATCTATGCTTGCAAAACGACGGCCCTTTAAGGTTATCTTTATTTTTGGGAATAGGAAAAAGTCAGACAGAGGCATATCTGGCGAATATGGAGGCTGGGGCATCATTACAGTATTGTTTTTGGCCAAAAATTTTGTTCAAAATTTAACAATTTTAGAACAAATTTAACTGCAACGCGTTTCATACCCAAAACATTCGAAAAAATTTCATGGGATGAGGCAATCGATATACCAACATCATCAGCGACTTCTCTGATGGTTTATAACCATTTCTTCCACTTTTTCCATGTTTTTATCGGTTGTTAATGTGCTTGTGCGTTCGGGGCGTTCGTCATCTTCAACGTCTTCACGGCCATCTTGGAAACTCTTATACCACTTGTAAACTCTTGTTTTACTTATAGCAGACTCACTATAGGCCTTTGTTAACATTTCACAGAATTTATTTCATTTTTTAAGAAAAATTGGATACAAATTTTTTGATCCATTTCTTTTAACGAACGAAAAATCGCCGAGCTCATAAAACACGTCTAACCTTAGCGGCTGCCACAGACAAAGTAAACAATGAACACAGCTAAAGTTTTTATCATACTTCGGGGGCATGTATAATAAAGAAAATTTTATGACAACCGGACCTTCTAAACACGCGAAATTTAACAACTCCCGTTATTTTCTGAACACACCTCGTAAATGGAGGAAACTTTGAACATTAAGTATAATAAATTAGTAATACAAACTGTTAATTAAAATATTGTTGGTTTATTAAATTGTTACAGTTTAGCATTCTTTTTGTTTTTAAAATATTTCATAAAATAAATTTTTTATAATTCAATGACTGCTTTTTTCTCAGTAATTTCGTTTACAAAACACTTAATTAATCAACAAATTGTTTATAACAACCCGAAAAATTGACGCCATTAAATTTTGAACAATGACAGATTACGTGGTAACCATATAGATATAGATACCGTCAACTCATCCGTCACAGGTTTCTTGATACAAAATAATATTTAAAATTTTAGAAATTGTTATATATGTATCTCTGAAATTATTAACTTTAGGTTTTGGGGAATAGTTACATTAATCAAAAGTTTTTTTAATTTGCTATTTAATTGGGTATTCCCCAAAAACTTCAATGGACCACGAATGTGAAATACCCTGTATGTGTTGAAACTAGCCTTAAAAATTAACCAGTATTTTAAATAAATTACCGATTCTCGTAAAACGCGGTCATTTGGGGCAAAAGTCTTAAGACTGATGTCGTAAAATTAAATTACTATTTTATTTTATAGTAAAACTGAGGACCCGCAAGAACTTTATATTATCTTAATAAAGTGCAAAGTTATCAAAATGTTTTTAAACGAAAATACCACAGACAACTTTTAACCCATACCTACCAAAAATAAACGAAAGTTTCTTTCCTTTTTAAAGCCATCGGGAATTATCTTCACCAAGTGATAAACTTCATCTAAACATTTCTTACAAAGAGGGATTATATTTCGTTTATTATGTTCTCTCTGCAAGTACTGAATGCATTTATTTTTCTAATTTATCGTACATGTTTTCCCGACACTAAGTGACCTTTTAAATACACATTGACAAGTTGTGGCTTTAAGGGGTTTTAGCCACGGGCTGAAGTTAGCAACAGGCCGAGATTAGTTTTAATTTAGTTGACAGTTGTAAAATGCCTTACAATTCTTAAAATAAAGTGCCTTTCTTGTGAAGTTATGCCAAACTTTCCTTAGAATTTTTCTAATACCTTACGTGATGGAGCATTCCCAAGGTCAGATTAGGATTCAGTGCATTTCTTTGGAAAGGAATTTCTTTAAATATTCCGACGAATTCGTTATTTTTGCAACTCACCTATTTTGTCGAATCGATCTATAAAACCTCCTTGTACTTTAAGATATTCTGCTGAGAATTCAAAATATATATTTCAGACACGTTTAGGATGATTATGGCAAATTGTGATCTGATTTCGAACTATTTTAGATCCTGTTTCAAATATAAATGCTCCTAGAAACACCGTTGTTTTTTGAAATATTTAATTTTTGTCATAAAGTTAGTATATGGGCCAGAGAGTAAAATAGTAACTTTTTTAGTTTTTCTTTTCGACCTTTTCTTGACTTTTTTTAATATTATTACTTTTTTGGCTTTTTCATATAGGTACAAATAATCGTAGGTACCTGGTATACCACGCGTGGTATACCAGGTACGATTATTTGTTATTAGGAAATATATTAATACAAATTTGTTTTATTGTTTACATTCCAATAACAATCAAGGTTAAATAAATAAAAGTAAAGACATAGCATTTAAGTAATACCTATACAAAACACATCCCATATATATATATACCTACCGAACACCTACGTAAAATGAAATATATATTTTGTGCTGTTTTATTACTATTTTTAACATTCTATTTCGTTGACTGTTTATCAAAAAAAGGTAAGAAATATTTTGAAAAAGTTTTAATCAAAACAACATTTATTCTACACTTTTTAAATATAAACAACCTTAAGGTCGATGTAATTTTAACCAATGCAAAGAAGATTGCCTTAAGAACACCCTGTATACTAAAGGCAAGTGTCAAAAAACCCAATGTCAATGTGTTTTGTAGAATAATTTTAATAAATATCATCATCAAACAATAGTTTTATTTCCAGTAAAAGATTCAGGGTTCAAAAAAATATTTTTTCTAGGTATTTTGTTTAAAATAACTTAATAGAACCATTTCAATACGATTGGTTTATTTTCGAACTTGTTATGGTTGTTTAAAGTTGAGTTATTTTCATCGATTTAGGTAGATTCTCAAAAAGCTTAGCTAAAAAGTTGTGTGCAATCAAATATTTTCTTTATTTTAAGCGTACCAATCTTTCTCCCCCAGCTCTAAAACTTTACGAAGTTTTAATAAAGTTTCTCTATATAAAACGTGTTTAAGTTTAGCAAAATAACAAAATTCAGGATTATATAAGATATCTGTTAAAATGTTGCGAGTTTCTATAAAAATGATCTCTATGGAAAGCAAAAAACCAATAAGAACACGGCATTCTCCACAGCTCAATGACATATTATCGGTATACCGATATATCATGGAGGATTTTTTTTAATAAAGAGAAATTTTTCTTTATTTTAAAAAATCCTCAATGATCGATATTTAAAAAGCCCTTAACTTAGTTTTCCCGGATAACTAAAAGAATAGAAAAAGGATATAGGATTGGGAGCCTCCCAATGGGAGGGTCGTTTAAAATTCTGCCAACTTTTGAAATTAAATTTCCTGTTACACTTAAGTGAAGAGAGCGCATCTTTTAACGGAATAAGATTATTTCGAGATTAAGTACCTACTATCTTAAAACTTGCAAACTTCCATTGCATTTTAATCGTATAACGCCGATAAGAATTAAGGCAAAAAAGAGTACGGAAATTTTATACCAATTACTTGTTGAAAATGATTTACATACCGATTTCTATCAGCATTTCCGGGTCGATTCCACACACAAAAAATACCTACCAACTAAATTAGAAACATTTTTTACATCAAACCACAATCCACACATGGATGTGGATTGTGCATCAAACATTCTTTTTCTGTCAAACAAGCTAAAGTTAACGCGCATGCGTCAAAACAAATGAAAAAACAGCCTCCTGATTCATAATTAAGTTATAGTGTGTTTTATGTAAAAAGAATATAATTTTAGGTAAAATCAAATTATTTAATAATATACCTTAATTTAATTATATTTAGAATAATAACTTTGATTTATTATTTTGTACCCTTAAATTACTTAAATAAGGCCCATTCTTTTAGAAAAGAAAATATTTTATTGTAGGTAGGTATTTATTGATGGTATAAACAAAGTATGTTAAAATAAAATGACAGTTGAATATAAATCATAATTTTATTACAAAATTATTTTTTTAAGTGTTTTTTAACAAATTTAGGTAAATAAATAAACAAACTGGAAAAATAAGAATGAATATATTTGAATTTCTACCAAATATACAATTTTTACACTTTTTTACTAAAAATACAGTGTTTTTTAAAACTTTTTCAAACAAAATATGCTGTTTTTACAGTAAAAAATACAAAAACCAATACTTTTAACTTATGCTGATGTCAATAAGGTCAATTTTTCATTTAATTGCAGTTGAGTTTTAATTAATTGAGACAAAGAAACAACCATAAGCAAATCTTTAACGTTTGAATTAAACATGTCAGAAAACTGTTCATTGGACATATGTGGTACAGAATTCACCAAATCCAACAAACTTCTCCCAACAGCATTGTTTGGTTGAACTTGGTTGGCCAAAACTTCTTCAACGTAAGCCAAAACTTGCTCCAACATAACCCCCATTTTGGTACCAGCTTCTGCAACCTGGACCAAATCCAACATGGGATTTACATGCCTAGTTCTTCCAGGGTTGGCACTCATGGTTTTTTGACACAATTGCAAGCCAAAGACTTCGGGATCATAACAAGTAACATCATTTGGTATCGGAGTGAACATACACCCTTGTTTACCAGTTGGGACTCCCAATTGTACACACACATACGCTTTAAGCCCCATTCGTCCCCCTTGTAAGCTTGTATCAACTGTTAAGTGAACAGGGTTGTTGCATTCTCTGGAGTAGTACTCGTGGATTACAAAGCTGTGATTTGTGACTTCATTACCAGTCGCCCACCAACCAACAATAGCCTCGTTAGAGTTTACGCGCTTGTTTAACTCGTAAATGTCCATGGCATAGGCCAACTCCGCTTCAACCTGATCATCGTACTCCTTGTGGGGTACACAGAAACAATTCGTTACCTCGACCACTCCTTTGTCCAATGTACCTAAAATATGCGTTATTAAGTATTTAGAATGTCATCTTGGGGTTGTATACGGTAATATTGATTATAGAATAGTTTGACAGATGGTTTAGAGGTTATGTGGCGCATGTATCAAAATATCGCGATTAATAGAGGTGCAGTGGTGGAAAAAGCCTGCTTACCGAGTAGGGTACCGATGACTCTTTGAGAATCAGCATTTCTGCGCTCGAAGGCGTCCACGATTTGGAATAAAACCACCGGGTGAACTTTTACTTGTAGGTTAAGCGCCATTTTGACGTCGAAAAGAAACGTCATGCGCGGAACTGTCAGACTTTCAGACCGGAAACAAAACAACGCGAAAGTAACTAGGTTGTATTTAAATTTGTGGATTTTACGATTTTTTAAAGTCGTTTTTATTAATATTTGAGGGTTGATTGACGGTTTTTTCGGTGGTGTGAGGATGTGTGGGGTGTTTATAAAGTGTTTATAAAGTTTTTGTCTGGTTAAGATTGTTTTTAGTGTGTTAAAATGATGTGTTCTTGTTGCCGTTTTGGTATTGATGGTTGGAAGCAAAATGGTTTCGCGGCCTATCACTGGCTGTGTATCTGCGTTGTTTTGGTATATTCGTATCCGCAATGCAGGCGTGCCTAAGTTTAAGCAGTACGTAGTGTGTGTGCACGGGATATTTCTGGATAAAAGATAATACAATTGATACAGGTGAGCTTTAAAAATAGTGCGGAATGCCCGCTTTACCCCACCCCCGCGTTTTTCAAATGATACTGTTGTTTATTGACATAATACTGGACCGTGTGATGAATTGGCCAATTATTTACTTCAAATGATACTTTGAGCGTGGATTTTTGTGCATTATGTGCATCAGAGGTGACCTTCAGTCCATAATATAACCACCAACACACAAAATCACATATTATCTAAAGAGGTCATTTACCTGTGTACTCTACCAGTAAACTAAATAAACGAGAGTTTCTCCATGTCTGCTACAATTTTTTTACAAACATGACTTCCCAGGCAAATAGGTATTTATAGATCACTCAGAATTTGTGGTTAAACTCTCGTTGTGGTTCCATGACTAACTATTGATATTTTTAGGCGAAAATCATGGACAGCAACAGTTCAGATGACTCGGAGTCTGAGTATTCCACAGACTCCTCAGACGATGATGGAATGGAAACAGCCCAGATAAACGGCATTAAAGTACAACTACCTCAAGCCCTATGTGAAAGACCTGACGTTTTTAAGGAATTCTTCTCTCCCGAGCTGTGGAATCAATTCTCGGACAACAACAAACAGCATTTGCAGACTTTTTTACCAAACTTTCCTGAAAATGATGACTTGGAGAAAAGTAAAACGTTACAGAGGTTATTTGACTTTAAGAACTTCAGATTTGGTAATCCGCTAGCGAAATTCCATGATGACCTAAAAGCTGGGTATTTTAGGCCTGACATAGCAAGAATGAGGAAAATTATTAACAAGGCTCAGAAAAAAGAGGCTAAATATAGGTATAAATCGTACAAAGATAAATTAAAAAGTGATGTGGTTGAATCTCAGAAGAAATTATTGAATCAAATCCGTAATCTACCGCCGGGGGTTGAACCAAGACAAGAAAAACGAAAGTTGGAAGTGGATTATGCCCCGCACAGAACTAAACGAAGATATTTTCAAGTTCTATCTCAAATTAAAGCAAAAGTCGAGGATAATAATTGTTCATCCGACGAGAATTACCCTGAGGGGCCCCCCAGCTCACTTTCGAGAAAGCAGAAGCGCAATTTGAACAGCATACGCAACTCCGTAACGAGCACGAAGGAAAAACTATTTTTAAGCACCATGTCGGTTAAAGTAAACAACGGTAACTCCAGCAACCAAGTGGACTTGGAAAAATACGTAACCCCCGCCTACAACCCGTTCTACATCAACGAAGACGCGTACAAAAACTTGATATCGCGACACAAACGAAAAAAATTGGAATCTCCCGAAGAGCCCAACTTGAACACCAGAGGTATAAGCATAGCGGACATTGTACATAGAACCCAGCTGCCTTACATCAAGAACGCGTCCCCGCTACCGACGAAAGAGAATAACAGCAAGAACCGGAAGCGCGCGAAAAAACCGGAAGTGCTGTTCAAGTCGCGGAATCATTTTGCCAACTCGTCGGAATCCGATTCCGACTCGATAGATGCGGTGTCGACTCCGAAACCCAAAATTAAAGTGAATAGGACGCCGAAATCGCAAGGCAAAGTCGCCAAAGCGGAAGTGGTGAAGAGGGAGCCGGAAGTGTTCCCGGCGCCGCCGCCGGAGGTCGCCAAACCTGCGCCACCCCCGATGATCTCTCTTACGGCTCAGTACGGTAAGGTTACGCCGGCCAAAATTGAGGATCTCGAGGGGATAGACATGATGAACATACCCATAGATTTGGATAACTCCGATATAGATATACTGTCGGAGTTCACCTCGAAACCGGAGTTGATGCAGGACACGCACTCGAACTTCTTCTCGCTGATACGCGACGTGATATGCTCCACCAACGAGCACAGAATGAACATGTACACCTTGCAGGAGCGCTTGAAATCGTGGCAGGAGAACCCGATAAGTCCTCTGAACGACTGGTACAACCTCACCGATAACTGGCTGGGGTTGCTTCCGTCCGCCATCACTTTCCTGTGCGGGAATTCGTCCGATCAGCCGGACGATTTCGTACCTTACATGGAGTACAAAATCCAGGTCGACATGTACCAGTGGATCGGCGCTGGGAGGGATTCCGACAGCCTGTTGCACGCGCTCTGCCACTTTTGGCTCGAGCACAGAACCGAGGCCAAGTCCGCCTCACCGTTCAAGGAAAAAGAGGACGTGGAGGTGGAGCTTACGGAGAGGAGCGGCAGTCCTCCGCCGCCGCGTTGCGCGACCAATTGGACCGTGCGCAAGGCCACCGTCGAAGAAGTCAAGGACTTCCAGGAGCAGGAACGGAAACGATACGAGCATCCGCATAAAGCCTTCACGTTCCGTTGTAACGGGTACGAGAGCATCGTGGGGCCCTTGAAAGGCATCTACAACGCCTCGGTGGGGAACACCAAAGCCAGAGGTCACACCATGTTGAACAACGAACGACCCAACTTCGTTACGATACTGTCTTTGGTGAGGGACGCCACGGCTAGGCTTCCCAACGGCGAAGGCACCAGGGCGGAAATCTGCGAGCTCCTGAAGTCATCTCAGTACATAGCTCAGAACGCGGCCGATAACGTCCTGCAATCAGTCGTGTCGGGAGCATTGGACAGGATGCACACGCAGTTCGACCCTTGCGTCAAATACGACCCGAAACGGAAAATATGGATTTACCTGCACAGGAACAGATCCGAGGAGGACTTCGAGCGCATCCACCAGCAATATCAAGGCATCAATAAATCCAAAAAGTCCACGAAAAAATCGCCCGCCAAACCGAAACCCAGAGTTGAAAAGGCCGTCAAGACCATCAAAGAACCACCGCTGACCCCTACGGAGGGCAAACCTAAACCTGTCAGACGCCCCGCCGCGCAACCTAAGGTGGTCACGTCGAGCTCGCCGCCTACTTTGATCACCGTATCGCCGCCCAAGGCCACATCTTTATTACTAAGCAATAACTCGACCAACAATAAGGAAACACCACAACCTGATTTGGAGGCGAAGAATAAAATCCTCGCCGAGCAAAAGGAGATCAACGATGCCTTACAAAGTATAGTACAACAACCTAGAACTGCCAGTCCAACCTTGAAATCCACCGCGAAAAGCGTTGTTAAAATATTATCCCCCTCGCAGGGGAAATCGCTGATTATTCCTACCAGTAACGCGCAGATTATAAAACAGATACAGGAAGCTACAAGCTCTAATAAACAGGTTAACCAACAGCTAATAACACAACAATTACTGCAGACCCTAGCGGCGCAACAGAAAAGTATCATAGTGCAAAAACAAGGGGATGATAAGACGACAGAGCAAAAAATTAAAGTGCCTGTCAGTGTTCAGCAACAAATAATACAAAGCATAAGTCCGCAACAGTTACAGAATATAAAAAACGTAACCCTACTGAGAACCTCAAACCAAAACGTCAATTTAACACCTATATCGGGAGTTAGCACGAATTCTGAAAGTCAGAGTAACATCGTCACGGTTTCAATGCCAAAGCAAGGCGGCCAAGTCTACAGCCAGGGTATTCAGTTGAAAACGCAACATCAAATAGTGCAAGCTTTAAGGCATGGGAAATTATTGCAGCAAGGCGTAATACCGCAACCTTTAGTCTATAAACAAAAAAGCGTGAAAACTTTAAGCCCTGTGGTCACCAGCTCTACTACAACCGTGGTTCAAAAATCAACCTCTGAAGCGCCAGTTAAGTCTCAGGTACCAAATCAGGGCAGTGTGGTGGCCAAAGTACTCACCAATGCTGCTGGTCAAGTTATATCGGTTGAAAGTTTGCTAGCGCATCAAAAACAACATGGTCAGCTTCCGCAAGGTACCACATTAAGAGTTGCGGGTACCAAATCTGGCCAACAAAACATCATACATTTGTCTGGAACGTCGAAAGCTAACAGTATAGCTCAATTTGCCGTCGGTAGTCAGAATAATTTAATCGCCATAACAACCCAACCAAAATTGATTGTTTCATCTCAAACTACAACCGTTACTAGTTCCATAACCAGCACTAAAACTGTTACCAGAGCCGTTACAAAACCGCAAACCGTTACCAAGTTCACCCCCAAGGTTACGCAGCAGTTAATCAACGCTAAAATAATAACACAGAACGCTGACGGTCAGAAAATCGTCCAACCTAAGATAGTTATGAGCCAGCAGGGGCACGTGAAGTTAGCATCGGGAAAAAGCATGCCCATCAACAAACCCCTGACTCTGAACGTAGCCGGAAACTCCAACACAATACGTATGGTGAACGCGGCTAACCTCAATTTAACCCACATAGGCGGCAAACCTGTTTTGCTGGCCAGCAAAGGCGGCACTTTGCAGAATCTGCAAACTCAGAACGTTATTTTGCAGCCGAACTCGAGCGGGGCGAGTTTGGTGTTACAGCAGGGCGTCAAAAACACGGTGCAGTCCGGTGCCAACAATTTGAACCTCCTCAACCAGCAGAACTTCGTTCTGGGGCCGCAGGTCAAGGTGCAACAGCCGCAGGTGGTCCTCTCGACCGGCGGCGTCAAAACTGTAACCTCGAACGCGCAGCAAGGCGTCAGTCAAAGTCACATAGTTCTGGGCGGTCAGCAGGTCAGGTTGCAGACGAGCAGCGCGACTAGTACGCAGCGTTTGGTGTTGGCCAGTCAAGGTCAGGGAGGTCAAATAGTGGCGCAACAGATTTTGCTGCCGGCCGGGTTTCAAGGCACAGCCATCAATTTGAAGGCCCTTCAGGGGGTCAAAGTGATCCCCATTGCTCAAACACAAGGGAAAGGTAAGAACATTTTTGTCCGCCTATTTTAACAGTTTGAGTATCCAATTTGACAGTTAGTTTTGTTTTTTAGTTTTTCACATTTTGTGTTAATCTCTTCATCAAAATAGCAATGGTAGCAAATATTTTTGTTTTTTTGAGGTGGAAATATTTATTAAAATAAGTACAAAGTAATTGTTAATTTTAACACAAGACCCTCAAAAATTAATCAAAGTGAATTAAATGTACAGGGTAATCGGCGATTAAGAAAACATTCTTTATAAAACTAATAAAAAATAGAATCAAATGTACAGGGTGCTCTTAAATTTAGAAAACTTAAGTATAACTTATAAATACCTATCTTTATTTATTATTTTATAGTTGTTGACAATTTTAGTATAAATTCGTAGGAATTTTATTACTTTAACATTTAATTTTATTTATTTAAAATGTTTTTCACCGAAATCTCATTTTTAACCAAGCAGGAGATTTTATAAAAAATTATTTTTTTTCGTAAAACGCCCAATATAAAGGGTTTTTTTGGGGATATATATGGGAGAATATTTTGAGATGTCCCCCAAGTGAAAATGATTATTTTTTATTTTTGGTTGTTTCACTGTTAGCCTAGAATGGGGTTTTTGGGAAGCCACCAGGTCTAGTAATAAAATAACATAAGTGGTTCTGCACTAATGCAAGAATTTTAAGAAATCATACATTTTAAATATTAGAGGTTCACGGAGGTTAGGAGTTCGTTTTTTTTAAACAGCCCTTTGTATATTTGAAATAAGTTATTTTATCTTTTGACACCTTAATATTTTTTAAAAATACAAAATATTTATAAAAAAAATCTACTTAAACTTTTGAATTCAAAAACAGCAACACTTTCATCTGCATATACATTCTAACTGACCTTCAGGAATCACATGCATCTATAATGTCATAAACAGAGGTTTTTGCTTATTTAAATGATTAAAGCGCCATCCGTTGCATAAATTTTAAAGCAAAAACAGATTCACGGACCATAGAATCAATTTTTGTAACACGTACATAAATGGTTATAAAAATTATTTCTTTTAATATTTAATAATATTTTATATTTGATTCGATTGCTTTGGATAATTTACTTAGTGAACTGATATTTTTTAGTATGCTTTTACTACCTCAGATATTTTAAAACAAATAGGTTAACCTAGAAAGAGTAACAGTCACGGTGGATAGGTTTTAGACTTTTAAAATATTGTAAAAAATAATTAATTGCGGTCAAAAATCTGGAACCTGGGCTGTAATATCTACTCAATTATGAATGATCAAAACAGAATAAAAGTGTAGGTCAAACTCATTTAGTTTTATTAAATATCACGGGGTAACACCATCGGGGGACATTTCGTGAGAATCTCCCATATGTACATATATTATAAATTATTTGTAACATTCCATTAATTTTAAAAACTTTGATGTTCTATGCATTTTCTTTATTTTTATGATCTGTAAATTTTTTACAGTATAAATGTTTATTTCATTAGTTAGATATTTTAAAAATCCATTTAAATTTGTTGTCTAATTTAATAATGTTTTTTTTAATTTTATAAAAAATAAATGTTGAAGTAATTTTTCGATTTTTGACTTTTTTTTAACTCTGATATATGATTTTTTAGCCAATTTACGATTTATTTAATTAATTTTAAAAGGTATTTTTAATATTTTGTTTTTTTTTACACTTTAAATCTGATCTGAAGGTTTTTCTTAATTTTTTATTATTTTGCGGATTTGTTGTAATATTTTTATAAAAGTTATTTTAAGTATAACAAATATTACAACAGAATTTTCTGGCGGGCGGTTTTTATTTTAGGTTTAAAAAATTTGGCAACGCTGTGTGTCTGATGGGCTAAAATAGTACACATCTAAAAAAGGTTGCTAAACAATAATTGTTTAAATTATTCAGTTTTTAAAACTTTAATTCATTATAACTTTGTTATTATTAACAAATTGTAACGTCATAAGAGACTTTTTTTTTATTCTATTAAAATTAAGTATTTTAATATTTTTCAATTAAACTATTGTATTTTTTACTTTTAGGAATTCAGGGTAGACAGGTTTTTGCTCGAGTGATGAATCCAGGTCTAGTTAAAACGTCCCAAACAAGCACCCAAGTTCAAGAAAAAGTCGTCGCTACTTCAGCAGAAAAATCCGTACCCACGTCGTCAGAAAAATGATAAGACTTTTTTGTAAATAATTCTTGGAGTAAAACTAACAAAATGTACCTAGTAATAATAATTGTAACATTGTTAATTTTCGATTACCCCCCCCCCCATTCTGACTGTACATAGTGTATCATTATGTATTATTATTATTATTATTAAATTGATTATCGGTTTATTGTGATGTACATAGATGTTTATTAATTATTAATTTATCACTAATTTTCAGTATTTAATTTATAATTTTTGTGTAGAATAACAAAATCACACAATAAACTTTTTTACAGATTTTCGGTGATTTACTACAAGACAACCTTTTGGAAAACCTTGGGAAAAGTAAAAGTACTATATTAAAAATGTATTATTGTTTATTTACAAGTTAAGTCGTATATGAAATGGTCAAACCTTATCACAGTAAATATCAATTTAGGAATATTGCAATCAACAACACGAGTTTATGTCAAAAATGTACAGAATTTTTTTGTTTTGTTTTTTAAAGCCCCAAAACAAACGTGTCCAAAATCAAGTTTCATAATGGGACAACCTTGTTGCTATTAACCTTGGACACATAAAACCTAGTTAAAGATTTGCTGCTGATTTAACAGTTTTTCTTCATCGTGGATTGTCTTCAAGCCTTTTTTAAACATCAAATAAAAACCTATGGTTAATAACAACGCTCCAAAAGCTATCATACCATATGCAGTGTAAGTACCAGCTGAAGGCATGATAAGCAACAATTTACCAAGGGATGATAACTCTTCAGTCAATTCAGCTGTTTGTTTGAACCACAACATCGGGAAATATGTACTTTTGACGTTTTTCAAAACACTAAAAAAATTGTATTAGACGACCTTTTCTAATGTGTACCTTGACGTCAAGGTGCCCAGTAGATGAGGCGTCTCATTACCTAATCCATTTGACGTTGTGCAGTAGAATGTTCACTTGCAGCGCAGCGTGGACTTTTAAGGGAAGCCCGGTTGTGGGTTCAAGTGCTAAATAGAAGTGGTGTTCCGCAGGGTCCGGTTTCATACCGGTTATACCCGCGTAGTATGAAGGGTCGGCTGAGTAAAAATGCGGGAAAGAGACGTAGGCTGGCGCGTTAAACCTAAAATGTCGTTAAACCCTGCCTAAATGACAGTACTTTTTTCACTTGGGTATGATCAAAATTATTTGTTAACAGTCTAAACATAATAATTTAAAAAAAATATATAATATTTTTTATTTTAATGACGTAAGAAAAAATTGATGAATCGGTTATAAATTGACGTGCAATAATATACAAGACATATTTTTTTTACGAAATTTTACGTCCCAAAAAAATGCGTTTTACGTTTTTTTGTAAAACACGCGGAGGTTAAAATTTGACATTTTTTTCTGAATTTTTTAAGTTGGCTTTTTTACTTGGGGATTATAATTATTTGTTTAAAGTCTAAAAATAATTTTGAAAAAAAAAATGTTCGAATGTCCAAATTATATTTTTTTATTTTAATGACGGAAGAAGAAATTCGTAACTCTGGAATAAATAGACATGCAAGAAATATTATTGTATACAATTTTAGGCTCTACAAAAAAATGTATATTTTTCAAATGGATGTTAGCTGGCCATCAAGGTCCAGCGATTTAACGATCCTAGACTTCTAATGGGTATATCTGCTAAATATATCAAATTATAAAGCTACTTACTTGCATTTTTGAATGCTTCTAACACCATAATTTAGCCAAATGAACCCCTTTTGGCAGGTAACACTGGTTTTGTGGCTCAGTATAGTCGAAAATTTCCGGTGCTGCCAAATATTTGTTACCCTTGATGCCATTATGCAGGATGGTACCATTTTTTCGAATTTTAATCGTACTAAAAAATTCAGTTTATTTAACAATTAACACTGCAACGATAAAAATGTTTACCCGCAGATATCAGGTGAGAAAACTTCCAAAACTTCGTTATCAAGAGGTGGGTACCATAATTCACCACTGGTACCGCGTACTCTCCCGCATTCACCCGGATAATAGTCCAATTGACTTTTATAGTTCCAACTGTGCAACCTACCCAACTTATTAATGTCGTCCACGCCACTGTACATGTTTAAAACACCATCATAATCCACACTATTGTTTCTCTAAAATAAAATACTTAAATTATATATATACACATAAGTATAAAAAATCGACTTACACCATAGAACCATGCAAATTTGTCAAAGGGGATGTCCAACCCTTTGATGTGTAGTTTATTGGCTAACTTAATGAAAGGATCATCATATCCTTTAAATAAAAATTCTTCTGCTGTCCTTGTCAAAATAAAAGGTTCGGATTTTAATTTAATGAAAATATTAAGACCTCCTTGGACTATGAAACATTTTTCTTTTACTTTATCCGCCACTGCCTATGATGAAATAATTATAATATTATTTAATGTAAGTATGTAAATTAAATAGTGCTAAAAACGTACAGCTAAAATAGTATTGATTGTGGTGATTTTATCATCCAGCTTCCCTTTGGATTTTTCAGGCACAAATTTCCAAACCTTTCTTGTTTTATAAGTAATAGTATTATTCTCGTTAAAAGTCAGCTGTTCCCTAATATGGTGTTCTGAGTACGTATAGGGTCCGCATTCTTGAAAATTGGGCTTTGTAGGCCATTTATTATCCATAAATTCATTAGCATTCGTCCAGTTGAATAAGTAAAACTCCATATACATTGGAATGGGAGTTTCTTTCCACATTTTAAAGCCTTGTGTATCATGGGCCACTGATAATTGCTAAGTATACAAAATATAAAATATATAACACAGATAATAAATATATTTGGTGGGTATAGAATCTATCTGATAGAGTGACGGCAAAAGTATGAAAACAATCTATTGAAATATTCGACTTTTTTTATGAAAAAAAATTCTTGAACAGAATTTTTTGGGGAAAAAAGGACACATTTTTTAATGAACTTTGGCGGTCACTGTATAATATTACCTTATTTCTTATATTTATAAATGAGTTATTCCATAATATTGCCATGGATATACCAAAACCCAATAGGAGCGCAGCTAAGGTAAATGCTATTATTTGCTGATATCTATGTGTACATGTACCCATGGTTTTTTACTACTGGAAATTACAGAAAATATTCTATTTATTGGTAACGGACTATTCCGCTAAAACTTTATGCATATCTACAAATATTAATAGCTTTTTAGGTTTTTACTTAACGTTCTTTTAATTGGTAAATTATAAAAAAAATTACTACAAAATATTGAAAAATATGGTAAAATGTAAAAAAAATTAAAACACGAATTCAGCGCAACACAAACCTTCGAAAAGATAAATAAAGTCTTATTTTAATAAAAGTTTTAGTCTAAAATGTTGACAAAAGGTAATCATCTTGATGATGACCTACGTTATCCAATAATAAATAATATTAAAACTGTTTGTATTACCTTATATGTACACTAAATGACAATGTTAATGTCACACAAACAATTGTAACAATTACCCTATAGGTAAGTACCACTAAATGAAAAATTTCTTTAATTTCTTTAATATATAAAGCATTACATTATTCATTATTAAACATGAACTTTTAACTATTAAAAATAACTTGTTAACAGTCATGTATATATAAATATGTATACTTATATATATACTATATATAGTAATATACAGGGTGTACCTTCTTTATCTCTGGCACCAAGTTTCATTCTATGTATCGGTTAAGTTAGAAAATTTTATTTTAATAGGCTTGGGCAATCTATTTTCACCGACCTAGTAAATTATAATATAAAAAAGTCATATTTGAATCATTTATATATTTATAATATTAATAAATGCGTGTTAACCTATTAATTAATTAATATTAGCACATTATAGACCAGTCGAAGAAATCTTATTATATAGCCGGGTATGCATTGAACTGCCGAGGCGCTAGCCGAAGCAATATATTGTGTGCGAGAAAATTGATAAGCTTTGTGTTTTATAGACTATTTTTTTTCACTATTTCTTTAATACTCTTTCATGTTATGTTTAGGATGGGTTCAACCGACATATCTATATAGACTTATAAGTGAAATAATGTAACAATTATTATACGCTTCAAAAAATATTACCTTTTGGGAAATTTAAATACTATGCTCCTGGAGCAACACTCAATAGTCCCACTCATAGAGAAAAACTGTCTCTATGGTCATACTTTGACATAGTAGATAAATTTTTACATATGATACTTGATGCACCCTGTACCTATATCATATTATTATGATTCATATATGATCCAAATATGATTCACTTTTTTGGTAAAATAGAATTATTAATATTAATTAATGTTTGTTAATACGCGTATTTCATTAATTTTAAATGAATAAATGATTAAAATCTTAGGCCAGTTATTTCCACCGCAAATTAAATGCGAGTTACGTCTAAAGTTAAATTTGAATAATATTCAATGAATATATATTTCAATGTCTGAATTTCTCTAATTTGTGTTAACTCGCATTTACAATTAATTCGAAGCTCAGGTACCATGTACATATACCCCCAGAGAGTCATATCAGGTTAAAATTTGGCCAAGAATTGCCCTATCACCTTTGGAAAAGTTTTGCCTATAAATGTACAATATCCCAAGCAACAATTTTGGTCGAAATAACCTATTTTCGACCCCCTGTAAGGCAATCGACCATTTAATACCATCCCTGTTAAAGGCAAATTTACGTTACAGTTACGTAATATTTTCGTAAGTGGGGAATAAAAAGTTAGTAAATTTAAGGTATTTTGGAAGTAGAAGAAGGCATTGTGACCAAGACTGTTAATGCAAAGCTGCCCAATTTTAAGTTGCTGTGACGTAAAATAGTGGTAATCTATAACCAATTATCAACCTGTAAGTCCTTTTAGTTCGATCCCACTCTCCGCTATTTTATCTCTGTCAAAATATTGCTAAAAATATAGGTACAAGTTAACAAACACTATTAGGACCATAAATATATCTTTAAAGTCCATTTTTAAAATGGGTATTTTGAGTTACCTAAGGGCTAAATTACTGGGCGAGTTGAATTTTGTTGTCAAATATCCTTACTGTAGCGCTAAATAACAGAAGCGCCCTTGAAAATACTTAAGAAAAACATTTTTTTAAAATTTTTGTCAATTTGGAATTTTCCTTATTTTATTTTATGGAGCGCTGAAAAGGTGGTTTTTCAGTTCGTTAGTTTTTTTAAGTTGTATAGAGCCCAATTTTAGAAAAAAATCTGAAACAGTGGTTAGATAAAATTATTTTTTCCTTTAATACTTTGGTGTAAACTGTTTTGGTTATCAGAAAAGATGGCGATTTCGACGTATTGAACTTAAAAACATAATTTCCCTATAATTTGGACCTGTAAAATAAATTTCCCTAATGTTCAGTTAAAATAACCTAAATTACTGCCTATGTAGTCGATATGTCTTAACAAGGAAATAAATATTGTGAGGTCTATTAGCAATTGCACAATAATGCCCTATTTTTAACCATAAATGCCCTATTTTCAACCATAAAGTAAATTAGTGCCCAGATTTCGACTTTGTAGGCCATTATCATAATTGCGCATGCGTATAATAAAACTGTCAACAGCTGTAGCACGCCTACTAGGCGTCGCCTACTTTCTCGTGTGGATAGTTAACAATGGGAGACTATTTTAAAATAGTTGCTATAATAAATAAAAGAATGAAAAAGTGTACTGTGGAATGCAGTTTTATTCCACATAAGTGGGAAGAAGATGGTGTGTTAAAAAATGGCCCAAAAAAGGTTTGAAATCGTTGAGGGAGGATCCCTCCACTAATCCTGAACCTGACTGGGATGAATATAAATGTAAAGTAAAAAAAACATTTATTCATGGATTAGAGGAGGCTGAATTATGGGAGGAAGAATTTCTGCAAGCTAACAGTTCTTCATCCTTTTTGCTAAAATTATCTTCGCAAGGGATTAAATCAATTTGCCCTTCGTTAAAAGTGTTTTCCGATGTGTTTTCACAAAAAATATTTTCCATACAAACTGATTTCTTGATAGTAAGTGGACCGGTTGAAACACTGGATAAGTTTACAGCATTATTAACATTTCCTTTTCGTAATATTAAACATTTTTTCAACTTGCGATAATAGCTAGTGGTCAGCATGTACGGCTTAAAACACTTTCGCGACATCTTGCTAGTTCCAGCGCTCACAACAACAAAAACAGACTTAACTTTAAATTCTAAATAAGTCCAAAGGACCTGTTAGTCTAAATGAGGTGGTAAATTCGACCTCTATATAACCGCATCGACTTACAAGACCAATATTGTAGTAAGTTAGACCTTAAGGTACATTACTTAAATATAAATAAGTAGGTAAAACTTGGCCCGACTCCTGACCAAAACATGCCTTAACCAAAACTTCAGGCAATTAGGGTTAGAATTACTAAATTTGTCCTTACGAATTTTGTACGAATAGTTGGTTGAAAATTGGTAAATTAATAGAACAGTCTGACTAACTGTTATCCCCTGTGATTTACCATTAAGGATATAAATACATATAGGTAGATGAAGAGGGGTACATTAGGTAACTGGGACCAATTATTTTTACTATAAAGGCAGGGAAAATGTTGGTAACTAGTAATGGGCAACGTATCCATAATTGGACCAGGAAACAAAAATTTGAACTCCGAGGGCTTTGAGGGAATATGTGCAAGCCAAAAAGAACCAGTTCTTTACCTATTTTTCGCCCACAAATAAATGTCGACCTCAAACACAAAAGTTTGGTTAAATTTTTGTAAATTTCAACCCTTTTAGGGCAATTTGGTGCTAGTATAGACACTATTCGACTTATTTTGTTGCTTGGGATATAGGACTTGTTATTTCGTAGGGAACGTGTTTTTTAACCATTTTATTTTTTACAAAAATATGGAAAAAAAACTTGACCAAATCGATCAATTTTCAAAAATTGGGCCCTATCGGCACTTTACTGTTTTTAAACTTAAAACAGCTGTAGCGCCGAAACGGGAGCACTTAGAGCATTTTTGGGCTCAGTTTCGTGAACCACGCAGGCCAATTGATCTAGGGAACGTGTTTTTAAACTATTTTATTTTTTACAAAAATATGGCAAAAAAACTTGACCAAATCGATCAATTTTCAAAAATTGGTCATGGTCTCTGATTTTAATAAAGTATGTCGTACCCTATGTCAAATTTTCCCCGGAATTTGAAAATCGATACCGCTGACTCGATAAATTACCGGCTCGCCCGCAATCTTAAAAAAAGTGCTTTGAAAAATCAAAAAATGGCCGTAGCGCCTTTATGGAACCGTTTTTGATAAAACTGATAGCAGTTTTGGAATCTACGACCTTGATTTAGTATATCTAGACACCCAACAGCCCCCTCAAAAAATCCTGAAAAATTGACAATATGCCTTTTTGGACGTTTTGACAGACGAAAATTTTGGTAAAAAAAAAAAAACAATTTTTGTTATTACCCGGATTAAGTTAACAAAAAGACTCATACCCATGTAAAATTTTCCGTAGAGTTCGATTTCGGCCCCAGATCGGCCCTATATCCCACGGTTTGGGCCCTATCGGCACTTTACTGTTTTTAAACCTAAAACAGCTGTAGCGCCGAAACGGGAGCACTTAGAGCATTTTTGGGCTTAGTTTCGTGATCCACGCAGGCCAATTGATCTAGGGAACGTGTTTTTAAACTATTTTATTTTTTACAAAAATATGGCAAAAAAACTTGACCAAATCGATCAATTTTCAAAAATTGGTCATGGTCTCTGATTTTAATAAAGTATGTCGTACCCTATGTCAAATTTTTCCCGGAATTTGAAAATCGATACCGCTGACTCGATAAATTACCGGCTCGCCCGCAATCTTAAAAAAAGTGCTTTGAAAAATCAAAAAATGGCCGTAGCGCCTTTATGGAACGGTTTTTGATAAAACTGATAGCAGTTTTGGAATCTACGACCTTGATTTAGTATATCTAGACACCCAACAGCCCCCTCAAAAAATCCTGAAAAATTGACAATATGCCTTTTTGGACGTTTTGACAGACGAAAATTTTGGTAAAAAAAAACAATTTTTGTTATTACCCGGATTAAGTTAATAAAAAGACTCATACCCATGTAAAATTTTCCGTAGAGTTCGATTTCGGCCCCAGATCGGCCCTATATCCCACGGTTTGGGCCCTATCGGCACTTTACTGTTTTTAAACTTAAAACAGCTGTAGCACCGAAACGAGAGCACTTAGACCATTTTTGGGCTCAGTTTCGTGATCCACGCAGGCCATTTGATCTAGGGAACGTGTTTTTAACCCATTTTATTTTTAACAAAAATATGGCAAAAAAACTTGACCAAATCGATCAATTTTCAAAAATTGGTCATGGTCTCTGATTTTAATAAAGTATGTCGTACCCTATGTCAAATTTTCCCCGGAATTTGAAAATCGATACCGCTGACTCGATAAATTACCGGCTCGCCCGCAATCTTAAAAAAACTGCTTTGAAAAATCAAAAAATGGCCGTAGCGCCTTTATGGAACGGTTTTTGATAAAACTGATAGCAGTTTTGGAATCTACGACCTTGATTTAGTATATCTAGACACCCAACAGCCCCCTCAAAAAATCCTGAAAAATTGACAATATGTTCGTTATTGCTCGTGTCCAAGTTGTCCCTCCTGAGTCAAAGTCAGCTGTTTCACACATTTTAAAGCATTTTCTCGTTTAGAATTTATATTTACTGAGATAGCCTATACGGACAACCAATTTTTATTAATTTATCACTAAATTTTAGTGTATAATAAAAAAATCACACAATAAACTTTTTTACAGATTTTCGGTGATTTACTACAAGACAACCTTTTGGAAAACCTTGGGAAAAGTAAAAGTTCCATATTAAAAATTTAAAATTATTTATTTACATGTTAAATTGTATATAAAATGGTCAAATCTTATCACAGTAAATATCAATTTAGGAATATTGCAATCAACAACGTGAGTACCTATGTCAAAAATGTACAGCAAATTAATATTTACATTATATATAGCTTTATAAAAAAATAAGTACGGCCGAAAATTAATGTTTTTCGAAGCCCGAAACGTGCCCAAAATCAAGATTCACAACGGGCCAACCTTGTTGCTCTTAACCTTGGACACTGCTAAACCCTAGTTAAAGGTTTGCTGCTGATTCAACAGTTGTTCTTCATCGTGGATTGTCTTCCAGCCTTTTTTGAACATCAAATAAAAACCTATGGTTAATAACAACGCTCCAAAAGCTATCATACCATATGCAGTGTAAGTACCAGCTGAAGGCATGATAAGCAACAATTTACCAAGGGATGATAACTCTTCAGTCAATTCAGCTGTTTGTTTGAACCACAACATCGGGAAATATGTACTTTTGACGTTTTTCAAAACACTAAAAAAATTGTATTAGACGACCTTTTCTAATGGGTACCTTGACGTCAAGGTGCCCAGTAGAAGAGGCGTCTCATTACTCAATCCCTTTGACGTTTTGCAGTAGAATGTTGACTTGCAGCGCAGCGTGGACTTTCAAGGGAAGCCCTGTTATGGGTTCAAGTGCTAAATAGAAGTGGTGTTCCGCAGGGTCCGGTTTCATACCGGTTATACCCGCATAGTACGAAGGGTCGGCTGAGTAAAAATGCGGGAAAGAGACGTAGGCTGGCGCGTTAAACCTAAAAATATATGTATTAAAAACGACTTTGATTTATCCAAAGTTGCTTTGTTTAGCCGGGCTATTTTATTAAAAACATTAACTATTTGTAAAAAAAATCGCATGTCGTTAAACCCTGCCTAAATGACAGTACTTTTTTCCCTTGGGTATGATCAAAATTATTTGTTAACAGTTAAAAAAATATATAATACTTTTTATTTTAATGACGTAAGAAAAAATTGTTAAATCGGTTATAAATCGACGTGCAATAATATACAAGACATATTTTTTTACGAAATTTTACGTCCCAAAAAAATCCGTTTTACGTTTTTTTGTAAAACACGCGGAGGTTAAAATTTGATACAAATAAAAATTGACATTTTTTTCTGATTTTTTTAAGTTTGCTTTTTTTACTTGGGGATTATAATTATTTGTTTAAAGTCTAAAAATAATTTTGAAAAAAAATGTTCCGATGTCCAAATTATATTCTTTTATTTTAATGACAGAAGAAGAAATTCGTAACTCTGTAATAAATAGACATGCAACTATACGCAAAAAATATTATTGTATACAATTTTAGGCTCTACAAAAAATGTATATTTTTCAAATGGATATTAGCTGGCCATCAAGGTCCAGCGATTTAACGCTCCTAGACTTCTAATGGGTATATCTGCTAAATATATCAAATTATAAAGTTACTTACTTGCATTTTTGCACACTTCTAACACCATTATCCAAATGAACCCCTTTTGGCAGGTAACACTGGTTTTGTGGCTCAGTATAGTCGAAAATTTCCGGTGCTGCCACATATTTGTTACCCTTGATGCCATAATGCAGGATGGTACCATTTTTTCGAATTTTAACCGTACTAAAAAATTCAGTTTATCTAAGAATTAACACTGCAACGATAAAAAATGTTTACCCGCAGATATCAGGTGAGAAAACTTCTAAAACTTCGTTATCAAGAGGTGGGTACCATAATTCACCACTGGTACCGCGTACTCTTCCGCATTCACCCGGATAATAGTCCAATTGACTTTTATAGTTCCAACTGTGCATCCTACCCAACTTATTTATGTCCTCCACGCCACTGTACATGTTTAAAACACCATCATAATCCACACTATTGTTTCTCTAAAATAAAATACTTAAATTATATATACACATAAGTATAAAAAAATCGACTTACATCATAGAACCATCCAAATTTGTCAAAGGGGATATCCAACCCTTTGATGTGTAGTTTATGGGCTAACTCAATGAAAGGATCATCATATCCTTTAAATAAAAATTCTTCTGCTGTCCTTGTCAAAATAAAAGGCTCGGATTTTTCCTTAATGAAAAAATTAATACCTTCTTGGACTATGATGTTTTTGTCTTTTACCGTATCCGCCACTGACTATAATGAAATAATTATTATATCATTTACCTAATTTATGTAAGTTAAATAGTGCTAGAAAACGTACAGCTAAAATAGTATTGATTGTGGTGATTTTATCATCCAGCTTCCCTTTGGATTTTTCAGGCAAAAATTTCCAAATCTTTCTTGTTTTATAAGTAATAGTATCATTCTCGTTAAAAGTCAGCTGTTCCCTTATGTGGTGTTCTGAGTATGTATAGGGGCCGCATTCTTGAAAATTGGGCTTTGTAGGCCATTTATTATTCATAAATTCATTAGCATTTGTCCAGTTGAATAAGTAAAACTCCATATACATTGGAATGGGAGTTTCTTTCCACATTTTAAAGCCTTGTGTATCATGAGCCACTGATAATTGCTATAAAAAATATATAATATAGAACACAGGAAATGGTGATAAATTAAATATGTTACCTTATTTCTTATATTTATAAATATATTATTCCATAATATTGCCATAGATATACCAACACCCAATAGGATGGCAGCTATGGTAAATGTTGATATTTGCTGACATTTTTGTGTACAGCAACCCATGGCTATGTTACTACTGGAAATTACAGAATATAGACTTTCTATTGATAACGGACTATTGCGCTAAAACTGTATCCATATCTACAAATATTAATAGGTTTTTAGCTTTTTACTAATGTATTTTTAATTGGTGAATTATAAAAAAATGGGAGAATACTAAAAAATATTGAGAAAAAAATGCAAAAATGTAAAAAAAAATAAAATAAAAAACATACTTGGTGTAGGATTCAGTGCAACACAAACCTTCAAAAAGGAAATATAGTCTGATAACAAAAGGTCATCATCAATTATTATTCATATATTATATCACAAGAACTATGAATTTAATCGGTTAAACTAGGCTCAGTAGGTTTTTCTTTGGTTTTTCTTGGAAAATGTTGAATGCAAAATAATTTAATAAAATCACGAGACCGAGTAGCGGTCGAGGGGTTTTATTTTTAATTATTTTGCATGAAACTATTTTCCAAAAAGAAAAATCAAATAAAAAACTTACTGAGCATAGTTTGACAGATTAAATTTATAGGTTGAGTGATATACGTCTGGATTATTTCTCGAATTATAGGAAACTATCAGGCTTTGTTATCTATGGGAAACTATTGGACAATTCATAAAATCTGACGTATGTGTCAAAATTTATAAATATTTTTTTTAAAGACAAATTCCATTAATTTAAGGAATGTAATAAGTAATAATTGATATTTCGTAAACTAGATAACTTATTTTTTATTGTTTTTTAAAAAATGTTTCTTAAAACTTGTAAATAACACCATAAAATCGTAAACAAAAATCCAATATGGAGGCTAAAATTTAATCGCTGTTAAATAGTTCTAGTGATTTAGGCTTTTGATTGGTTCATATTATAATGAGGGAAATAATCAATAATAAATAATATTAAAACTGTTTTTATTACCTTTTAAAATGTGTACACTAAATGACAATGTTAATGTTAATGTCACACAAAGAATTGTAACAAGTACCCTAGGTAAGTACCACTAAATAAAAAATGTCTTTAATATATAAAGCATTACCAAAGATTAAGTATATTTAATCTTTGGCATTACATTACATTATTCATCATTTCATGAACTTTGACCATTTAAAATAAACTTTTAACAGTCATATGTAGTAATATACATGGTGCACCAAGTATCATTTCACTGCGAGGAAATTAAAAAGCTTTCTCCAGCGTGTTTTATAGACTATTTTTTTTCAATCATTTCTTTAATATTCTGTGTCATGTTTAGGTTAGGTTCAACTGACATATCTAAATATACTTACGTATGAGTGTTAGTAGTAGATAATTATCTCCATGACAAATCTTTATAATCTGAGGGCCAATCACTGCATGATGCGTAACAACATGAATATTGAGTTCGTATCTCCGTTGTTAGGCAGGGCAGTTTAATGATTATCATATATGGATAAATAATACCTATTATGTAATAGTAGATAAACTGTTTTTTACATAGGATACTTGGTGCACCCTGTACTTACCTATATCTTACTATTATGATTCATATATGATCCAAATATGATTCACTTTTTTGATAGTATAGTATTATCATTGACTTCTTCACTCAACGGTATTATTAATATTAATTGTTGTTTGTTAATACGCATAAGTATTTAATAAATTTTAAATTGGTTAAAACCTTAGAGTAATATTGTTTTTTATTACTCTAAGGTTAAAACTAAATGAAAGTGCATGTTTAACTACCAAAATTAAAATAACATTAAAAATATTAACCTTGTAGGAAATTTAAGTAATTTTAAAAACCAGTCTTTTCCCTGTCATACATTTCCAAAAAACTACAATTCGAAAATCACTATAATTATTTAGGCAATTATATACCTATCTATAGAGGAAATGGGTAGGTACCTATATAAAATTGATATAATAAATTTAGGAATATTTATGAGTAGGTAGGTACTTAAGTACTTTTAATCTTTAAGTTTATGTACCTAGTTACAATTTATAAATTATTAAAATATATGTCGTGACGTAATCTTGTCTTTTCAATAGCCATAATATGGCTATTGGAAAGAAAAGATTATGTTCCTTTTACCACAAAGATCAATGAATTGTGATTGGTTAGTCAATAATCGAGTGTGCTTAAACCACGCACACAAAAGTCGAGTGAGATTGGATTACAATTAATTAAGGATATCTATAAATATGTCAGTTAACGCTACCTAATTTTTTCTTATTTTAGGAAAATAATAAGTACAATATTTGTATTTTGTGCGGTTTAAAGGTCCTAATTTAGAAAAGAAAAAATACATATACCTAATTTATTATTTTTCAAAAATTAGCGTTAAATTGACAGATAGATAACCTCAATTATTTGATTTCAAATGTCAAGGTGTTACTTTTGGGTGGTGGATATATACGAGGTGTGTGAAAATAACGGGAATTGTTAAATTTCGCGTGTTCGAAGGGTCCGGTTGTCATAAAATTTTCTTTATTATGTTGGTATACATGCCCCCGAAGTATGATAAAAACTTTAGCTGTTGTCATTGTTTACTTTGTCTGTGGCAGCCGCTAAGGTGTTTAATGAGCTCGGCGATTTTTCGTTCGTTAAAAGAAATGCATCAAAGAATTTGTATCCAATTTTGCTTAAAAAATTAAATAAATTCTGTGAAATGTTAACAAAGGCCTATAGTGAGTCTGCTATAAGTAAAACAAGAGTTTACAAGTGGTATAAGTTCGAAGATGGCCGTGAAGACGTTGAAGATGACGAACGCCCCGAACGCACAAGCACATTAACTACCGATAAAAACATGGAAAAAGTGGAAGAAATGGTTATAAATCATCAGAGAGATCGCTGATGATGTTGGTATATCGATTGGCTCATCCCATGAAATTTTTTCGAATGCCTTGGGTATGAAACGCGTGGCAGCAAAATTTGTTCTAAAATAGTTAAATTTTGAACAAAATTTTTGGCCAAAAACAATACTGTAATGATGCCCCAGCCTCCATATTCGCCAGACATGCCTCTGTCTGACTTTTTCCTATTCCCAAAAATAAAGAGAACCTTAAAGGGCCGTCGTTTTGCATAGATGACATTAAAAGCGCATCGCTGAAAGAACTAAAGGCTATCCCAAAGATCGAGTTTTAGAAGTGTTTCAAGTATTGGAAGAAGAGCTGGCACATGTGCATAATATCCAATGTAGACGAATAAATAAATATTTGTATCAAAAAACGAAAATTCCCAAAAATTTTTGAACACACCTCGTATAATACGATATAGCCAATACGAGTCGTATTGGCTATAAACGTATGCAACCGACAGCGACACTCAAGTTGAGTGACTCAACGCGATCTATGTCTCCAACACCATGGCTCCATGGTCAGCCATAGAAATAATACTATTTCTATGTGGCCAGTAAATACCCATTATGGTTCTTATTTTTGCGAATAAAACTGCACAAAAAGACAAAATAGGTCTGTGAATTTGTTTTATGGGTTACCCATAAAACCAATTCACAAACCTATTTTGTCGTTTGCGCAGTTTTATACGCAAAAATAAGAACCAAAGTTATTTATTTTGTTATAGGTAGGTATACCTATACCTATACCTATAGGTACTAATAAAAATTAGGTACTTAATTGTCCAGAGAAGAAAAAGCACATTGTCTCTTCTATGCTATAAAATTTAATTAAAGACAAGGACAAATATATAGATAAAGATAAATTGGTTAATTGTAGTATTGTCTATAACATATTTATATAAAATTTATAGATTATAGTAATATTTAAAAAATAATATTTACAAACACTTACCAAGATTTCACAACAAATTTAGGTAGGTAAGTGAAATTGATGTTGAATCTCATAAAAATTGTAGAAAGTGGAACTTAAGTTAATTGTTATTTCCCCCCAGTTTTAAATTTGCAATTAAAAAAAATGCACTTTATGCAAGTTTAAAACCAAAACACTACTGTGAAAAATAAAACAAAATAATTGAAGGTTACTTGGAAATATCCTTAACGAGTAACAATATTACTCACCACACTCCTTTACGCTGCTGCTGTGGGCGAAATATATTAACAAACAAATAATTTATCACCAATTATTACATTTTTAACGCTTATCACCAAAATTCTACGTTTTTTGTGCACTTCAAAACATATGATTTCTCACTGGCTTAAATTCCCACTGGTTAAAAATGACAGTTGTTAACTTTAAAGTGAATGATTAGAGCTGTCATTTTCTTGTTCTATGGCTGTCATTGGTGGGGCGATGATTGTTTTTTGGTTTGTTTAAAGGGTATATTTCTCTGGGTGCTTTTGGTTTACTTTTGTTGTGGATGCGCTGCGCACCGTGCGCAAAGGGTTTTGATTGGTTGTGGAAGGGTAGGGCGCATGCGTTTACAACAAAGAAGTCTTTCCCGTCGAGGTCAATCTCTTCCAAACAGCTGGGTATGTTTCCAATTTCAGCTGATCATTGTTTTTGGGTGGTGCAAACTACGTGACATACTTTTAATATTGATGGAATTAACGTAGATTGATTAGAGGGTCCATTATTAGTATGTGAGGATGTTCAATAAAGATTAGAGAGAGTAGGGAAACAGTAGAGCGTAGTATATATTGGTGACGTAATAAGAGATCTCGAGGTCCATGAAATCGTGAAAACAACAGAGCGTCGGGAAAAGTGGCATTAAGTTTGGGAAGTAAGGGGGGCGTTTTAAAAATAAGTCTGGCCTCAAATAGCGAGTCGTCGGGTGACGAAGGTGGACAGCCGCCTCGCAAAAAGTCCCGAAGAACATTGGCGATGCAGGCCAGCAATGGATTCGCGCAAAACGGGGCCTCGGCCGCGTCCAACGGCACCGCAGCCCCAGAGAACGGACACCAGGACCGGGAGAACGGAATCGAGGCCACCTCCAACACAAAGGCAAACGAGGAAATCGTCCGATTAATCGGACAGTACCTCAAAAACGAAGGACTCAGGTAAGTTCACGACCTCTTTGTTTTTATTTACAACGCCAGTTGTATTTTCATCAAGATCGCTTTGATTTTCCTTTGTTCATTTGTTTGTGCCTGTCATCATGTCAACCTAGGATCATGGCAAGCTTTGGATTTAGATCAATCAATTTTATAATTGGTTTGTTTTGATTTTAAGGTCAATATTGCAAACACCCTATTTATTTATTACAGTTTTATTATCTTATGTAGATTAAAAATATACGCATTAACAAATTAAAATGTGAAAATATACAGGATGTAAAAAGTAAACAAAAAATGACGTCATCAGGGGACATGTTTGTGCAATGTTACTGCAAGTTTTATGGTTTTTCAGTAATTTTTCACCACGTTTTCGCTAAAAATAACATTTGTCATAATTTGACACTCGTAACCTTGAAATCTTCGTGCTTTGACCTTTATGGCCATGGAGCCCACACAAGGAGTATGAACAATAGTGCCTACTAGATTTTGAGCTTTTGGTTTTCTTATGGCCGCCATGTTGGAATTTTACATGGCTAGATTAAAAAAAATCAAGGAATCTTATGTTGCTGATGGTAACTCAAAATAGTGGCGAAACAATTGGATAGAAATGTAGTGTACCTATGTTTACATGTAAAACTTACTTTTTTCAAAATTCCCAGGACTAACGAGGTTATAAGAATTTTGGTTTTAAAAGGTTTTTTAAAATATTTTGAGAACCACTGTTTTTTTCCTTTATATAAAATTAATTTTAATATGCCTGTATACACAACTTTTCCCTAGTAAAAGTATGAAAGTATTATAATTTATACTTAATACTCTTTTTTTTGTTGTAGGGGTTTTTTCTACCTAATAAATATGTATCAGTTTAATATTTTAGAAAATGCAACTTTTTTTTGACCCAACAAAGTAAAAATCTAAAAGTTTATCAAAGCTGGAATTTACCTATAGTGACTTCTATTTTTTTTGCCAAGAGAATTTGGCTTCATAATGCCAAGGAAATTAAGTTATTTTGAACAAAAAATATATGCTTAAGAAGCATCGCTACTAGCGCCACCACTCGGCTGTTATCATCGTAACAAAAGTACAATTTTTAATAATCAGCTGTCAAACGCGCATGTTAGTAACATGATGTTACAAACTAATGGTTTTGAGAAAAATGTTAAAAAAATCGATATACCTATAATATTAGGTTGCCATGAATTCTTAGATATATTTTGTCGTTTACTATTTTAAAACTCAGTCGTCGGCGTTTTTTAGAGGTCTCAAATATAAAAATGTTTAATTTTAAGGTTATGTTTGTAAACCTATTATATTTTGTTACATTCCCTAAAAATATCCAAACTTAATATAAATTATATTGGGTAAAGTTATCATTAGTTAATTCTGCACCAACAAATATACGTATTGAATTGGATCCTTTGGCAAAACATAAAAATGCAATGATTTAGTTTTTGAATTTTTGAAACGCAAAAAACACAAATAACGTGCGCGATTTAGCTGTGCAATTGAAACTTTGCGAACAAAATTGGTTGATTAAGACTTCTGCCTTCCTCTCTTTTCAACAATACATTTAAAGCATATGAACCGCACATAATTTTTAAATAAATAAGTAGTTTTTTTTACAAAAAATGAGGACGACAAATTTTTTTTAATTGCACAGCTAAATCGCGCAGGTTATTAGTGTTTTACGTTGCAAGGAAAAAATTAAAAAACTTTTTTAGTACTCGATTTTGATTGATTATTACTTATATCATTGATTAAGAAACTCAACGCTTAAATGCTTATACATATAGTTACGTTAGTGTGTGTATTTTATCAAAGGGAGCATGGTGAATTATTGTGTTTTTAATTGTAAATAAAATTCAAGAACTAAATTGTTGAATTTTCATGTTTTACCAAAGGATCCAATTCGGAAAGTACATTTGTTGGTGCAGAATGAACTGATGATAACTTTACCTAATATAATTTATATTTGGAAAGTTTTAAGAAATTAGTAAAAAATAATTTTTGCACAAACATAACCTTAAAATCAAAAATTTTTATATTTGAGTTCTCTAAAAAACGCCGACAACTGCATTTTAAACAACAAAATATACCTACGAATTCATGGCAACATATAATGGTATTTTACCGTTGAGTGGAGACTTTAAATAATTCTTAATCAACACTTTTAATAATGCTAAATGCTGTTTAAATTTAGACGACTTATTTGTTTGACGATTTTTACTGAATTGAAATGTTTACACTTTTCACGTTAATCATTACTAAAATGTGTATTTAGGTATTGTATCTAATAGATACAATTGTTATTTACAGGGACTGTATGAAATTTATTTCTTTATTCGGATTAACACTGTTTATTGAAAAACCCATGAGAACTTAACCCAGGATTTCCTCTCGAAATACACCCAACAACACAAAAAATCGTGCCACGGTTTTTTTACGATATTTTTTAACATTTTCCGGCTTTATTCTTAAAAACACTCGTTTGTAATACACGCGTTTGACAGCTGATTATCAAAAGTTATACTTTTGTTACGATGATAACAGCCGAGTGGTGGCGCTACTAGCGATGCTTCTTTAGCGTATAGGTAGGCAAATTGCAAAGCCTTGAGAAACATTACAGCTTTTACAAATTTTTGTGAAACTTTTTCTTTTATTTATGAAGTCAATAAAATCGTAAAACCAAGGGCCGGTCTAAAAATTTGTCGAGGGTCAACATTTTTAGTTTTGTGATTTTGACGTATCTATCATATTTTTACACTTGTAACCATAGATTAGTAACTGCTTGTAACCATGAAGCCTATTATTATATCCCCCCACTGTTTGGTTACAAACGAAAAAAATAACAACCGCCCTCTTATTTTGGAAAGCCATTTGTATACATGGAGTTTGTACTCCTTGCGTAGGCTCCATGACCGTGCCTTAAAATCTTTTTTGACAGCTGTCACTGCTAAATTTGACGTTTATGACCTTGAAACGGCAAATTTTGACATTTATGGTAAATTATCAAACTTTTTTTCGTTGTTTTTCGTAGCAAAACTTGCGATGCTTTAATGTCAGAATCCAAATGCCGTCTGGACCATCCGGCGGCGGCGAAATTCCGCCAACAGGTGATGGACGGCGATTGGACGAAAGCCGATCACCATCTGCAAGAACTAAAAACAATGTTGGGCCCTGAAAACAGTATTGTGGTGAGTGAAGCGTAAAAAACTGAAAGTTGGGTTATGTCGACTGTAAAACGTCAAAGTGACAGATAAAAGTGAGGTTATGTTGTTTTAGGAGATGAAATTTTTGATATTGGAGCAGAAGTATTTGGAGTACTTGGAGGATTCTAGGGTTTTAGATGCTCTGCACGTATTGAGGAACGAATTGACTCCTTTGCAGCATAACACTCAGAGAGTGCACCAGTTGTCGAGCTTTATGATGTGTTCAAGCACTGAAGAGCTTTTAGAAAAAACTAAATGGTAATTTTACTTAAAAACAAGCGCAAAATTTAACAGGAACAACCTACATTTCTTTTTTAGGGCTGGCAAAGGCCTTCGTTCAAGGACAACTCTGATGGACAAGTTGCAATCCTATCTGCCTCCGACAGTAATGTTGCCCCCAAACAGGCTCAATGTGCTGCTCAACCAAGCTCTAGAGCTGCAAACGATAAGATGCACCCACCACTACACTTCTATCGATGTTGCCTTAAATAACTCATCCCTATTGGTCGACCATTGTTGCCCTGTTGCCGATTTTCCAATGCACACAGTACAGGTGAGATAGAGCTCTGCGTGACGTCACAACGACTTAACGTTTCCTTGTTTAATGGCTAGGGTTTTAAAATTTCAGGAAAAATTGAGCCGGCGGAAAAAAACTTTTTTTTTCGGGAAAAAAACAAAAAATTGATTTGCATTTTTCATTTTATTTATAGGGTAATAAGAAAAAAATGCAAAAGTCACTTTTTATAAAATAAAAATTTTTTACGAATAATATCCGTAATATAATAAATAAGTAAATTAAGGACGGCATGGCGAATCGATTTTGACATTAACTGTCAAACCAATGACTGTGATACCAACTATTTAAAGTAAAATTTGACTAAATTAAATTTAAGGTGTAAAATTATGACATTAGTTCTTTAATATACTATTATAAATCATTCGTTATTTTGAAATTGGATATTTTCAATGGACTACTTTTTGCAAAAAGGACCCAACCGACAGTATATTTAACGTTTACGTTTATTTTCTTAAATCAATTTAATTTAACTCAATGTTTAGTTTTTTCTGTAATAAAGGATTTTTTTTTAAATTGTTGATTGCTACTATTTTCAAATTGTATATTCTTAAAAAAAATATTTTTTCCATAAAAGCCAATTTTTCCAAGGCCTTAAAAACGAAAAAAAAACAGGTTTTCCCCCAATTTATTCGTTTTTTTCGACCCTTTAAAACCCTACTAGGGACTTAACCTTGTGACGTCATTATAAACTTAATTTTCTTTTTTTTTTAACAATTTGAAATTTTGTTTTTCTATTAACAATTAGGCTAAAGCTAAAGGGAAGAGAAAAGCTGAACCACTTAAAAAGGGACCATTGAGGAAAATGTGGCTTTGTTTTCCTCAGGCTTCTGATTGATTATTTCTTGTATTTATTAATAAATTGGGGTTAAAAATTATTTTGGAATTTGTTTTATTAAAAATGCAGTAGTTTGCCTTAGGAAACCTTTAAAAATTGACAATTTAAAAAAAAGCATGCAATAACTCAAGATAGACTTCTTTGAAGGTGTCAAGACGTTTAGGTCAAACTATGTTGTCATTATTAACACAAAATAATGTCATCTCTACTAGCTATTATTTTTTGCTAGGTTCTTATAGACCATTGCGACGAAGTTTGGTTCTGCCAATTCTCGCCAGATGGCACCAAGCTCGCGACGGGTTCCAAGGACACGAACGTCATTATCTGGGACGTGAATCCGGAAACGTGCACGTTGTCCTTGAAAAACATCCTGGAAAATCATCGCCACGGCGCTGCCTACTTGTCGTGGAGCCCGGACTCTACGCATTTAATAGTTTGCGGGCCGGAAGAATGTTCGGAGATTTATCTGTGGAACATCGAGACCGAAAAGTTCTTGAAGGTTACTCAGTCGCCCGAGGATTCTTTGACATGCTGCTCGTGGACCAAGGACGGAACCAAGTTTTTCGTAAGCGACAGCCATCTGTCAAATGTCAATATTTCTACGGTTTTTGTTTTTTTAGGTTGGCGGCATCAAAGGTCAGTTCTATCAGTTCGACATGGAGGGCAACATGCTGGATTCGTGGGAGGGGGTAAGGGTTAACGGAATTACCTGTAGAAAAGATGGGAAAACAGTGTTAGCCTCTGATACCCACCATAGGATTAGATCTTACGCTTTTGGGGAACTAATTGAACAATTGGTGTAAGTATAATTCTATAAATTTCACCTTTTTAGCTTCTCAAGTTACTAAGAAATATATAATTGCTTGTACCTCGTGAACTACATGAGCAATCACTTTGCAATTTTAAAGGCATAATAACCCAGTTATACATCTTATTTTTTCCAAATTTAAACTTTCTAGCTTCTTCAGTTTCTGGGATATCCTGTATCAAAACTGGATAATTCAAATCATGTAACTTCTGAACCTCATCAGCAATGACCTTGCAATTTTAAAGGTATAATAACCAAGTTGTACATCCTATTTTGTCAAAATTTAAACTTTCTAGCTTCTTTAGTTTCTGAGATATCCTGTATCAAAACTGGATAATTCAAATCATGTAACTTCTGAACCACATCAGCAATGACCTTGCAATTTTAAAGGCATAATAACCGAGTTATACATCCTATTTTGTCCAAATTTAAACTTTCTAGCTTCTCCAGTTTCTAAGATATCCCATGCCAAAACTGGATAATTTAAATCATGCAACTCATGAACCACATCAGCAATGACCTTGCAATTTTAGAGGCATAATATCCCAGGTATCCATCCTATTTTTTCCAAATTTAAACTTTCTATCTTCTTCAGTTTCTGAGATATCCTGTATCAAAACTGGATAATTCAAATCATGTAACTTCTGAACCACATCAGCAATGACCTTGCAATTTTAAAGGCTTAATAACCCAGTTATACATCCTATTTTGTCAAAATTTAAACTTTCTAGCTTCTTCAGTTTTTGAGATATCCTGTATTACAACTAGAAAATTCAAATCATGTAACTTCTGAACAACATCAGCAATGACCTTGCAATTTTAAAGGCTTAATAACCCAGTTATACATCCTATTTTGTCAAAATTTAAACTTTCTAGCTTCTTCAGTTTTTGAGATATCCTGTATCAAAACTGGATAATTCAAATCATGTAACTTCTGAACCACATCAGCAATGACCTTGCAATTTTAAAGGCATAATAATCCAGTTATATATCCTATTTTGTCAAAATTTATGTAACCTTTGAACCACATCAGCAATGACCTTGCAATTTTAAAGGCATAATAACCCAGTTATACATCCTATTTTGTCAAAATTTTAACATTCTAGCTTCTTCATTTTCTGAGATATTACTATGTATTATGTATCTTCTGAACCACATCAGCAATGACCTTGCAATTTTAAAGGCTTAATAACCCAGTTATACATCCTATTTTTTCAAAATTTAAACTTTCTAGCTTCTTCAGTTTCTGAGATATCCTGTGTCAAAACTGGATAATTCAAAGCATGTAACTTCTGAACCACATCAGCAATGACCTTGCAATTTTAAAGGCATAATAACCCAGGTATACATCCTATTTTTTCCAAATTTAAACTTTCTAGCTTCTTCAGCTTCTGAGATATCCTGGATCAAAACTGGTTCATTCAAATCATGTTACTTCTGAAAAACATCAGCAATGACCTTGCAATTTTAAAGGCATAATAACCCAGTTATACATCCTATTTTGTCAAAATTTAAACTTTCTAGCTTCTCCAGGTTCTGAGATATCCTGTATCAAAACTGGATAATTCAAATCATGTAACTTCTGAACCACATCAGCAATGACCTTGCAATTTTAAAGGCATAATAACCCAGTTATACATCCTATTTTTTCCAAATTTAAACTTTCTAACTTCTTCAGTTTCTAAGATATCCTCTGCCAAAACTGGATAATTCAGATCGTGTAACTTCTGAACCACATAAGCAATGACCTTGCAATGTTAAAGGCGTAATAAACCAGTTATACATCCTATTTTGTCCAAATTTAAACTTTCTAACTTCTTCAGTTTCTAAGATATCCTATGCCAAAACTGGATAATTCAGATCATGTAACTTCTGAACAACATCAGCAATGACCTTGCAATTTTAAAGGCATAATAATCCAGTTATACATCCTATTTTGTCTAAATTTAACCCTTCTAGCTTCTTCCGTTTTTGAGATATCCTGTGTCAAAACTGGATAATTCAAATCATGTAACTTCTGACCCACATCAGCAATGACCTTGCAATTTTAAAGGCATAATAACCCAGTTATGCATCCTATTTTGTTCAAATTTAAACTTTCTAACTTCTTCAGTTTCTAAGATATCCTCTGCCAAAATTGGATAATTCAGATCATGTAACTCCTAAACCACATAAGCAATGTCATTTTAATTTTAAAGGCATAATAACCCAGCTATACATCCTATTTTGTCAAAATTTAAACTTTCTAGCTTCTTCAGTTTCTAAGATATCCTCTGCCAAAACGGAATAATTTAGATCATGTAACTCCTAAACCACATAAGCAATGACCTTGCAATTTTAAAGGCTTAATAACCCAGTTATACATCCTATTTTGTCAAAATTTAAACTTTCTAGCTTCTTTAGTTTCTGAGATATCCTGTATCAAAACTGGATAATTCAAATCATGTAACTTCTGAACCACATCAGCAATCACCTTGCAATTTTAAAGGCATAATAACCCAGTTATACATCCTATTTTGTCAAAATTTAAACTTTCCAGCTTCTTCAGTTTCTAAGATATCCTCTGTCAAAACTGGATAATTCAAATCATGTAACTCATGAACCACATAAGCAATGACCTTGCGATTTTAATAGCATAATAACCCAGTTATATATCCTATTTTTTCAAAAATTAAAGTTTCTAGGTTCTTCAGTTTCTGAGATATCCTGTATTAAAACTGGTTAATTCAAATCATGTAACTTCTAAACAACATCAGCAATGACCTTGCAATTTTAAAGGCATAATAACCCAGTTATACATCCTAATTTGTCAAACTTTAAACTTTCTAGCTTCTCCAGGTTCTGAGATATCCTGTATCAAAACTGGATAATTCAAATCATGTAACTTCTGAACCACATCAGCAATGACCTTGCAATTTTAAAGGCATACTAACCCAGTTATACATCCTATTTTGTCCAAATTTAAACCTTATAGCTTCTTCAGTTTCTAAGATATCCTCTGCCAAAACTGAGTAATTAAGATTATGTAACTCCTAAACCACATAATCAATGACCTTGCAATTTTAAAGGCGTGATAACCCAGTTATACAGCCTATTTTGTCTAAATTTAACCTTTCTATCTTCTTGAGTTTCTAAGATATCCTGTATCAAAACTGGATAATTCAAATCATGTAACTTCTGAACCACATCTGCAATGACCTTGCAATTTTAAAGGCATAATAACCCAGTTATACATCCTATTTAGTCTAAATTTAAACTTTCTAGCTTCTTCAGTTTCTGAGATATCCTGTATCAAAACTGGATAATTAAAATCATGTAACTTCTGAACCACATCAGCAATGACCTTGCAATTTTAAAGGCATAATAACCCAGTTACACATCCTATTTTGTCGAAATTTAAACTTTCTAACTTCTTCAGTTTCTAAGATATCCTATGCCAAAACTGGATAATTCAAATAATGTAACTCCTTAACCACGTAAGCAATGACCTTGCAATTTTAAAGGCATAATAACCCAGTTATACTTTCTATTTTTTCTAAATTTAAACTTTCAAGCTTCTCCAGTTTCTGAGATATCCTATGCCAAAAGTGGTTCATTCAAGCAGTTTCCAATACCAAAGTCCCAAAGACGAATTTTTGAAATTTTTCTCCTTGCAGGATCCAAGAGAACCACCCCATAATGTCCTTCACGGTCGATAAAAAAGACAGGTTGGCACTACTGAACATCGCTACTCAGGGTGTCCACCTGTGGGATCTCGACGACCGCTGTCTGATACGTAGCTACCAGGGTGTAACTCAGGGTCACTTCACCATACACTCGACCTTCGGCGGGGCCGATCAGGACTTTATCGCCAGCGGAAGCGAAGACAACCAGGTAAGTCCCCGGATTTAGTAATGGGGGTAGTTAAATTTATTCTGACCTATACTTTTTATGGTTTTATTCAAGGCGTTTTGTAATTTTAAACATTTCTGTGAAATCGGAATTTCAATTGAGTTTATCGTTTTCGGGATATTTACAAAAAAAAAAATCTCCTAATTACGTCACTAGGCTATTAACAACAGCTTTTTCTATGGTTGCCAGTGTGTTTAGTTTAAGATTCTTTCGATAGATGGCGCCACGTTATAATATTTTAGTTTTAAAACCACTTGATCTATAATTTTAGTTGAGAAGAAGAAGAAGAATTGATTTTTTGACGTTTCTTTTTTTCGGGTTGTTTTTTTTTAAATTTAGATTATTAAAAATCAATGTTATTGTTATGTTATTTGTAATTGATATTAGATAAGTGATTTATTAATAACGGACTCCAAAGCAGAGGAATCTTGTGGAATGGTTGGTTACTTTTAAACAAATAAAGTAAGTACCTATAATTACAATCATATTTTGTCGTAAATGCATTTTATTAGTATAATGCCTAGTTCTTTATATTCTTTTAGATATATCTTGGACTCTAAAATATCAAACAGTAATATGATACCTAGTAATAAGGAAGATAGGTACTTAATGAATTTGGTGACCATCTTTCACTCAACTGACACTGACAGTATTTGTACATAACCTTTTCGGGTATTTTCTGACATAACCGAATGAAATCATTAACAAGACAACTTGACAACAGGGTAATTTTCAACCAATAGAAATCTTAGAATGTTGGTCACATGGCGAGGTTTGTGACGTCATAAAAATTTATATTTTTTGTAAATATCTCGAAAACGGTAAACTCAATTGAAATTCTGATTTCACAGAAATGTGTAATATTACAAAACGCCTTGAATAAAACCATAAAAAGTATAGGTCCGAAAAAATTTAACCACCCCATTCCTACGTCCGTCGAGCTTGTACACAACGTTGCCGTGTGTTGCAGGTGTACATTTGGCATATCAGGAACAAGCTGCCGATCGCGACGTTGCAAGGTCACACCAGAAGCGTGAACTGCGTGGCTTGGAACCCCGTCTACCCGCAAATGCTCGTTTCCGTGTCGGACGACTGCTCGATACGCGTGTGGGGCCCCAAAGACAAAATTCCCAAGCCGTCAGGTACTAGCTGATGACGGCGATTTTGATGATTTTGCATTTTTTCACTTTTTCACCATTTGAGTAATACGGCAACACTGCCGATGTAACAATGCAAAATTTCCAAACGAATATGAACTAAAGCAATATTTTTTTTAATGTTTGAAACTTGGGTTCTTTTTTTGTAGTGTCTTCTTCTTCAAACAGTGATTCTAGTAACAACGGTACATGGAACGATATGGTTTCATAGTACTTGTTTGAGTTTAAAGACTGAAAATCGAATCATCATGCGTATAAATAAGTATAAAACAAAAAAAAACGAAACATACAAAAAAAGGCCGACATTTTTTTCTACGAAAAGCAGTGACTTTGTTTTTGACGATTTTTTCCACAACAACTGTTTTTTTGGCCGACGTGGTTTTATTTTTGTTAGGTTGGCATTATGTATGTGAGGGGCATTGCCAATTTATAAAGTGACGTACACAAATTTTCTATATTTTGAGTGATTTTTTTTTATTTCTTAGTACTAAAATTGTGAAATCAAGGTTTTGGTAAATTATTGTAACATAAATGTACCTATTAAATATTTCTGGTACAAATAAAATGTTTTCTTTTTTTATCTACAAAGCACTGTATGGTTCTTAATTGATAAATCACCAACTAAATAAATAATCATGCATAGAGATAAAAAGTATTTTGTAAAATTTTTCACATTATTTAATTTTATGATAGTTTTTTATTATTTAGAAAAAATTGTGTTAATTTTTTGTATTTTTGATACATTTTCTATTGGATTTAAAAAGCGCCATTTTTGCATTAAGAGTTTTTCCCATTTTATTTTGTTTTATTTATTGTTAAAAATACAGTTTATAATAAAAATTTAATATTTAAACGTGTTATATTATTAAAAAAAGATTTTTTCACTCTAGTCTTGAAATAGGTAAGTTTAAATTCTAATTTTATTATATGCTGTATTTCAGGTTCAAATCCGTTATTTTCACTTCTGAAGATTAAATGAACTGAATCACCCTGTATATTACAGAAAATCACTACATCTTGTTTCCTATCATATAATTAAATTTTAAAGGGTGAAGTTCTTGTTGTGGGGTTAATATATTCTAAGAATAGTGATTGTGGCTTGATGTAGTAAGTTTTTCAGAAGTTTTATTATAAAATAGATTTTAATAAGAGTTAAAAAATATTTGTAAATAACCAACATATTTTATACACAATTATGTGATAACCTGCAGTTTATATGTTGAGTTCAATCTACCTTAAAAAAGCAATAATAAAACACAAATCTGCCAGTTCTTCATAATTTATTGCTTTATTATCATAATTTCTTATTTATCAAGTATTTTATAGGTTTAAGATAAAATAGGACACAGTTTGGCAAGATTGTGTAGGTTGGTAATACAAAAAATAATTAAATAGATGATATTTTTAATTCACGGATTAATAAAGTATTGTATAATAACAAACGATTTTTATTTATTTGAAATACTGAATATAATAATTATATAATTATTACGCTGAAAATCAGGCAACCAGGTATACAAATTTGTATGTATACAACCAAGTATACACCATTACGTCACCATTAACATATTTGGAATTTACGAAGGTATTTTTCATAGAAATAACACTTATTTCTATGGTATTTTTGGTGGGACATTTATTTAGGTTATGCTACGGGTTCATCTGTAAAATTATTGTTTCCACGTATTTTTTAGTGAATTGTGTCGGTAGTTCGAAATTAACACCGCTTATCAGCTGTCCCATGCGTCAAAACTGTCACTTGTGATATGTCATTTTTGACACGTATTTTGTATGTATACAAATAGTTGATTTTTTTAGTAATAATATGTGAAAATGGCCTTATTAGACGACGATTCAGCATGGTAAGTACTATAAATACATTTAAAATAATATACTAGGTTAATAAAATCAGAATAAATATGTTTATTATTTACTTAAGGATAAAGCAATATTTAATTAGATAAATTGTTATTTGCGTGTAGCATTGAATAAATACAAGTTTTATCAGTTATTTTGTTGTGTTTTTAAAATTATTTGCAATTAATTTTATCAATACAGGATACAAGAGTTAGAAACGGCTTTGATAGAAGAATGTTCAGCCACGGATGTTTATTGCATTTGTAAGGGTAAACCATTGCCTACAGAAGTCAGGGCTGAAGTCTGGCAAGTAAGATGATGATTTAAAAAGGTGTTAATATGGAAACCCATTTATTAATATTACATCCACGTTCAATCTGGGTTGCCTACATTCATTAAAACCATGGGTTTGGGCCTCAAATATACCATACAAATTTCAGCTTAATCTGTATATTGCAATTTGAATAATGTATTTTTGAGAAAGCAGATGTCACTTTAATAATAAGAGGGGTTCCATATTACCACCATCTCTGAGCATTAAACTTATATAGTGACTGACAAAGTTAAATTTAAGATATGTTTGGACGTACGAGACAAGGGGAATCAACTGGAGCAATTCAACGAAATTTTCGACCTAACCAACCAGAATTTATTGAGAGAAGACATAACAAACTTTGTTTCAAACCTGGGGAATGATGAGGAGGATAAATTGTGTGTTATTTCCGACTTAGAGTCAATTTTAACCTTCTATTGTAAAAGTAGGAATTTGGAGTACACGCAAAATAACGGTTGGGTTGAGTTGTTGTTGCCGATATTAACACTTAAAGTCCCCAAAGGGGTTACTTATAATTTATTTGAGGCTATAAGAGATACTTATGTACCGCAAAGTTGCCATAAAGATGGCAATGCTTTTCACATTTTAAGGTTACTGTTGTTATACCACGACCCCGAGTTGTGTTCCTTTTTGGACACCAAGAGAATCACCCCCGAGAATTATTGTTTGACATGGTTTCAATCTTTATTTGCCGCTACTTGTTCGCTAGAAGTAGTCATTAACATGTGGGACTATTATTTCCAGCAGTCAGACCCGTTCTTTATATTCTTTTTGTCGCTTATCATGGTAGTCAACGCGAGAGATCAAATCGTTTCGATGACGAACGAATCAAGGGATAAAATAATCGCGAGCCTTTCAAACATGCCGTGCGGGCTCGAAGCCGATGACGTCAGCGATTTTTGCTCGCTGGCTCAATACTACGCGCTCAAAACTCCGGTCTCTTTCCGCACCGACCTCATGCAGACGTTGTACCAACCCAAGAACGAGAAATCCCAGTACGTGTCGCAGGCGCTGTGTCTGCCCGTCTCCGTGCACGAACTGGTCGAGAATACTGCGCAGGAAACGAAGAACGTCGACGCGGTCAGATTTTTCCTGGTCGACTGCCGGCCCGTGGAGCAGTACAACGCCGGGCATCTGCCCACGGCTTTTCACTTGGACTGCAACTTGATGCTGCAGGAGCCCAGCGCGTTTGCCACGGCGGTGCAGGGATTGCTCTCCGCGCAGAAGCAAGCCTTGGCGCACAATTCCAGCGCAGGTGAGTTAAACTCACTGAGTTTAAAGCGATGTTGCCAGGTCTGGTGATTTTTAATTCATTTTTTCAAAATAATCAAAATTTTTTAGATAAAATAATTTTTTAATGCTTTATCTATTCGTCACCCTAATATAACAAGGTTGTATGTTAAAAAAACGAAAAATTTGAGTTTATGCTTCTACAAGGTTTTATGTAATCCACCCTTGACATACAACTTGAAAATAACTCTATACATATACAGTGTGTATTAAAACGAATAGATACACTTAAATAAAACAAGTGCCAAACCCCGCCCACTGTGGTAGGGATTGAATCTTTAATACATTGGGAGATATTAGTCCTGAAATGCTGTTTAACGTGCGCAGGAATTTTTATGATAGGCTAGGGTATTGTTTAACTGCTGCTGGTGGTCTATTTGAACATTTAATTTAGAAAAAAGTTATTTTCGTTATTTTAGAATTATTTTTGTTTGAGAATTTATAGGTTTTATTTTTATCGAATTCGTTTGTTTTGTTTTAATGCATTTCTGCAAATAAAAACTAAGTATTGTTTAAAATCCATTAAATTCCAGTTAATGGCGAAAATGTATTTCTTAAAAACTATACACATTTCCCTACGACAGCGTCGGAGCTACTGAATCAACACACAGTGTTGCCAACCTCTTCGAACATTTTATCGGTAGATTCTTTGGAAATTTTCGGTAGATGATAAAATTTCGGTAGATTTAAATATATGTGTAATTTTTAGTTAAAAAAAATACAAGTAATAGAAAAATATTTATTAAAAATAAAAAAATCTAATAAAAACAATAACATATTTAACTTATGTTAACATTGTGTTAACATTAGTTGAATATTAATAAAAAGAAATGTAACAAAAAAAAAGAAAATTGTAAAAAATACAAGCACAAAAAAATTAATAATATACATAAATCAAGAGAACAAACGCCGCTTACTTTTTACATGACATCGTAGTGCGACTTTTGTACAAATGATGTTGGTAAAATCATTTTTAATCACATACTAGTAAAAAATATATAATACTGTTGTCTAAGTATAATATTTTTATGCAATTTAATCTAAAAAAACGTTATTTATTTGGATTATTGCAAGATTTTCGGTAGAATATTGATGTCTATCGGTAGATCGGTAGAATTTTTCAGAAATCGGTAGATCTACCGAAAATTCGGTAGGGTTGGCAACACTGTCAACACAGTAGATCAAACTGCATGCCCTTGTATCTGGCTGCATGCCGCGCTGTTGCTATATGCTATTATTGTTTCCTAAAAGGGTTGTTTTTCTTATTTTTTAATATTAAAGGTAAGAAAATTAACTAATTCAAATTATTTTTGACATATTATTAATTTTTTTGTTATTTTTAAAGTTTCAAACAAATAAAATTGAACTATTTATTAAAAAATTATAATCGTTCTCTTCTGATTTAAAACAACCTGGCAACTATGGTTCGTAATTACGAATGGCTTGGTTTAAACCACGCCCAATTAAAGTTTGTTTCTTTTTCTCTGATCAGAATATAATTTGTCATCCTTGTCTCCAGCCTTACTTACTTGATTCTATACAGTCTGTATATGTATACATTCTATAGAATTATTTTTAAGTGGTATGTGAAGCGTAGGCCACGTATAATCATGTAGAAACATATACTTAAATTTTACGTTTCTTTAACATACAACCTTGTTATATTAGGGTGACGTATTGGCTAGTATACAATGCATTGCAAAGAAACAAATTTTAATATCAAAACATTTTTATTACAAAAAATTAGGTTTTTGTAGTAATTACAATTTTTGGTAATTGGGCTCCCAATTTCGGACACCCTATCCGAAATTAAAAAAAACTTTTTTAAATAACAACATAGGCGACTCTAAATGTTGGAATTTGTTTGGCTCATAATTTTGGATTCCTAATTTCGGATAGGGGAAATTGAGAAACGTGAACCATCCGAAATTAGGCAACTTAATACTTTTTGCGTTAAGTTTTTTTTAAATAAAATCATTGAAAAAATTTCGTACAATGCCTTAAACAAACATTTACCTTGTCCAGGTAAAAAATACAAATTTTTACAACGAATATTTATAAAAAAACACGGCTTGGACATTTATATTTATCATCACATAGTTTTCTTAACATTTTCTTTTATTAGGTTTTACATAAATGCGTTATTAAGAAATTTTAATTTTAAGTCAAAATTTAAAAAAAATCTTGTCTATAAACTACCATAACTTTATAAAGAACAAAGATATATTAACGAAACAAAAACCAAAACGTACAGCAAGGATCCCCAACAAAACGATATATAAGTTTTTTATACAGGGTGTCGTAATTTCAGGTGGCGAACATTTATGTTTCTTGGGTTCCGGTAGAAACGAAGAGGACCAGTATACCCACATGGTCGTCGCTTCTTTCCTGCAAAAACACACCCAATACGTTTCGTTGCTTACGGGGGGTTACATAGCGATTCACAAGTACTTTTCCGACAATTTGGAGGGTTGTCTGCAAGATCACAGCCCAAAGAATTGCATAGTCTGCGGGCCTACGTACAAAATGTTACCGCAAAGTGTCAAATCCGGGCAGAGTACGGATTTGTTTGGTAAAATATCTGCCGCTATGAAAAGCAAGTCCGTTGAGGTGAAGGATAAGTTGTTTGATTATATTGTCAATCCTAACAACAGCAGTCCTGTACAGGAAAGGCACGTTTCCAGTAGCGATAAGTTGGGGAAGCGGTACAGAGATGTCGCTCCTGTTTTTAGCATCGACGATGATAATGACAACTTTGCCAGTGTGCAGGTGAGAAATCTATGGAATTTTTTTATAACTAGTACCCAAGCAGCATTTTTGGTTCCAAAAACCATTACCAAAGTGGTGATAACTTTAAATTAGTAAAGTATACTAAACAGCTACTTGAATTTTTACTTAAAAGTAATTCTAACTTTTAAAAAGCAATATTTTGTAACAGAAACTTCATTCTTTCCTTAAATGGTTACTATAAATAATAAACATTTAAGTAAAACTTGGTTGCCCCCAAGAAGACTTTGCAACTTAAAAAAAGGTGTTTTAAGTAAAAAAAACTTTCAAGTAAATTTAATTTGTAGCAGTTACTTTCGGTTGCTACCTAAAGATCACATTATAATTATTTTTACTTTTACTTTGTAGTCCCATTGCAAGTTAAAATCCCCAAACTGGAACATGAGTTAAAAACTACAAAGTTAATAACTTAAAAGTTATTATTTTAGTATTTGGAACGTTTATGGTACTAACCAAAACTACCGTAAAGTAAATTAAGGTGGAAAAAAACTTTAAAGTAGCGAAAACTACTACAAAGGAAAATGCTTCTTATCGACCATTTTTTACTGTACAGTACAACGTGGTAATGTAAATAATAAATTATTTTAATTGTTTGTAAATGGTTGTTTACTTTTTAATAAATAGTAATTTTGTTGGTAATAGACGGTATTAATAATTAAATAAAAAATTAATAATAAAATTAAGATTTTTTTATTTATAAACATTATTAAATAAATAATTCGTTTATACTTAAATATTGATGAAGCGCATTTATTTAAAAAAAACTAAATTCTTAAGTTCAACAGTAAAATTTAAAGGGTTTATAAATTTACCTGCCTAATTAAATATTATATTGTTATTCTGGAAGTTATAAACTACCAGTACATATTTAATAAACGACATTGAAAAGCCAAGTCCGTAGTGGTTCCATTTAAAAAAGGAGGGATAATATAATCTAATATAAGTTTGACAAAGACAGTTAATATAGAAGTAAAAACAAATAAATAAAAGTAATTATAACGCTCCAGCAACGATATTGAAATGTTCTTGTAACGTAGCAGCTACGTTCCAAATACTAAAGTATTTGTTACCTTTTTGGTACTCAATAATTGCTCCCCACTTTAGTAGTAACTTAATAATAAAAGAGTAATATAAAGAGACGCGACTGTCGCACAACACTTTAAAGTTTCTGTAATAGTCCCATATACGTAGAGATGCGACTTGAAAAAAAATGGTCCGTTTTTTTTTCAGTTTTTTTTTCATTGTTTTTTTTTCAAATGGTTTTTTTCACATTTTAGGTTTTTTTTCAAGATAAGTCCCATTTACCTAATTTTTTATGTTTCCAGTCCAGTTCATGGACTAAAATTAGCTACTAAATGACGAAAAAAAGTAACTACCTATAATATTTTAGATTTTTCAAAAAGCTACCAAAAAAATTCATGTAGAGTATGATTTTTTTTTAAACAATAGCAAATTTTTGTAGAACATTTATTCATTGGTGGTTTAGTCAGAACATTCCGTGGACCAAAAAAGAAAGCCAAAAAAATCTCGAATTTTTTTATTACGGTATTCGTTAGGATTGAGCGTTGCACGTTTTTCATCTAAAAATTACAAACTTCAAGCTTCAAATTGCTTTTTAACGAAGATACAGCTATCCAAAAAATCGCAAAAAATTTGGAATTTTTTTAATCCTTTAATTTTTTCTATTAGTGTAGAAGTTTTACATTGATATTGGTTTCTTATGTGGAAACTACCAAATAATAAGAAATCAGATTTTTTAGTCTCAGTCAAAATTTTTAATAATGAAAAATGAAATATATTCTACCTTTCACTTTATTATTAATATGCATTTAACCAAAATTTCATTTTGAAAAATTACTCCATTTTTTAAGATTTATGTTATTTATTGACAGAATATGCTTTATTGTAGCAGATTTGAAAAAAAAAAAACAAAAAAAAACTGTTTTTTTCTAGGTTTTTTTTCATGTTTTTTTCACATTTGAAAAAAAAACCGTTTTTTTTACATCTCTACATATACGTAACAAATACTTAAATTGTTGCTTGGGTACAAATACAACTTTTTTTAGCAGGAAGAGGCGGAAGATGACCATGAGTTAGTCCAAATTCAAAGTTGTCTGAAGTCCCCTGGAGTCATAGAGCACTTCCCGTGTCAGGAAGTCAAACTGAATGGTTTCATGTACAGCAGTCACTTAATAGTAACAGCCACCGAGTTGGTGGTGCTTCGCGAAGTTCCTAATAGAAAGGGCACCGCCGAGGTTATAGTGAAGCGCCCTCTGTCCGCCATAGTGAAAATCACCGCTCGGAAGAGGCACCCGGAGTTGATAACCTTCAAATACGGTGTTCCCGAGGGGGAGAACTTGAAAATCTCGGATATGGATAGGTTTTTAATACCCAATGCGGATAAAGCCACCAAAGTCGTGTCCGATCAGATACTTAAGCAGCTGCAAAGCAAAGATTAAAGCTTTTTCGTTGTTGTTTTTAGCTTAATTTATTATTCTCGAAAAACAAATTATATAGAGGATTAAGTGAAATATTTTTATCGTCTTTTAAATAATATATTATATATTTATCTTAATACTTGTTAATTAAATGCAATAAAACATTAACAATGAGATGTTTTCTTTTAATTTCCTTTCTTCTTTTTTAGGTATTTTTACGAAATAAATTTATGAGGCGCCGTTTGTGTCAAAATTAAATGTGCATAATACACTTATTTTGCTTTATAAATAATTAATTTTTTCTACTCCCACCTTTAAAACGCCCTTTATCGTACATGTTTCCATGAAACTAAGTGACCTTTTAAATACACATTGACAAGTTGTGGCTTTATGGCGCTTTAGTCACGGGCTGAAGTTAGCAACAGGTTTTTAGTCACAGGCTAAAGTTAGTTTTAAGTTAGTTGACAGATGTCAAATGTCATACAATCGTTAAAATAATGTGCCTTTCTTGAAAAATAATACTAAATGTGAAAATTATTTTATTATCTTAATACAAAAATACAAAAGTATTAAATAGTTTCTCAACGCCAATATTTGAAAAGTTTATATGAACATTTTACTGACCTTTTAATTTCAACGGCAGTAAACTATAACTTAAATTCGGGCACGGACTTCACTATAAAGTGCTCATAAAGCATTTTCTTTACTTTCACTGTGAAAAACTGTCAATTTTCAAGAAATACATTTCGATTTATAACCTTTATAAAATTTAAAAATTTGACATTTGACGGTGACACACAGATTCCCCTATTGTTTCAGAAATCATTTTAAGATAATAATAAGTATTTGTCGTAGAAAAAGTATAGTATGCACCTCGTTTATAAACTTTTCTATACACTCATTAATTTAAGCAATTAATTCGTGTATAAAATGGCGTTTATCAAACTTGATACATAATATACTATTATGCATTATTTACCAAATTATTTTTTATTAATTTTTTTTATCAATTTATTATTGTATCAAATTATTTTTTTGTCAACTTTTTTTTTATGAAATTATTTTACCATAAAAAAAAATTTTTTTTAACTTATTTTTTTTAAAATTATTTCTTTATCAAATTATTTTTTATAGTTATTTTTTTATTAAGTTATATGCGAATCAAAAATTATTGATGACTGAAAAATTTGATAAAAGACGACAAATAAGTTTAGGGACACCTTGTATATTATGATTTTCTCACTTGATATATATCCTCCAAACCCTGGTTACAATTATTATTGTATAGGTACCTACATTTTTGAAATTAATAAAAAAATTCGTTTTATAGTTTTTTTCTTTTTTGTTAAAATAAAATGTTTTGTTATTTAGTAGAAGTAGATTTTGTTAATGTTTTTGTGTCAAAATTATAGTTTATGCATAAAATATCATGTGATAAGTTTATAAAGCAAAATACGTTTATTTTGCACTTTTAATTTTGACACAAACGGCGCCTCATACAAATTGATGCAACCAGATCTCCTATCATACAGAGTTTTTCACTAAAAAGGTAGAAATAAAACAGTTTTATGTATTTTAAAAATCGATTTTATTGTGTAAATTGTAAAGCTCTTACAGTGAAACGTTAACTAAAGGGATGAACGCAATAATAAGTTAATGAGTTAAGTAAAAAAAGTTAGCTCAAAAAACGACAGAAATGCTTATGTGAAGGTGTTAACAATATCATCAATTTTCAAAATGGATCTGACGGTTTCGGTGGCCAAAGTGATCGCGCTTACGGTAACCAAAAGTGGCTGCACGACGTCTTCTTCGAGAATGTTGGAAATGGTACCCTTTCTGACGTTAATACCGGCCGTGGACTCCCCTTTGGCGTGCTTGGACCTCAACTCCGTCACCGTTTGGATGGGGTTGAGACCGGCGTTCTCCGCGAGCGTGAACGGAACGATCTCGAGGGATTCCGCGTAGGCCCTGAGGCAAATCTGCGCCACGCCTTCGCTGGTGTTGGCCAGCTTCGCCAACTTTATGGCCAACTCGATTTCCGGCGCGCCGCCTCCGGCGATAACGTGCGGTTTGCGGACCAGGCAACGAATTACGCAGAGTGCGTCGTGCAAGGAACGTTCCGCTTCGTCGAGGACCAATTTGTTGGAGCCTCTGACGAGGATTGTGACGGTTTTACCTGGGTTTTGCACACCTAGAGGAGAAAGTTAATATAATATATTACAGGATGACTAGGGATTGCAATCCAGCAGGGTTTTTAATCCAACTGGATTTTGTTGGATCAACATCAATCCAGCAATTTATAAATAAAAAAACAACTTATTTTCATAAAAAAACTAAAATAGGTACCAATTAATACACTACGCGTCAAAATTAACGCATAACAAGTTAAAAAAATCCAACTCTAAATCGCCTTTACCAATCTTTATAAAATTTTGGAAAAAAATACTTTAACTTATATCTCAAGAAAATATCCTTAAAGCCCTTTTATTTAATAATCAAAAAGGCTCAAAAAAAAACTTTTATAAGGAATTTTTTTAAGTAAATAAAAAATATGCTGTGAAAGACCGTATTTTTGTTAGTATACCCTGGAAATTTTGTACAAATCAAACAAACAGTAACAAAAATACGGCGCTTCAAAGTCGTCAAAAATGACCACTTTTCAGCAAAATAATCAAAAAGGGGTCATTTTTACCGACTTTGAAGCGCTGTATCTTCGTTACTGTTCGTTTGATTTGTACAACATTTTCAGGGTATACTAACAAAAATACGGTCTATAACAGCATATTTTTTATTTAGGAAAAAAAAATTCACTAAAAGTTATTTTTCAAACGTTTTTTTATTATTAAATAAAAGGGTCTTAAAAATAATTTCTCGAAACACCCCTTAAACACGTAAATTGAGAATAAGTTAAAGTATTTTTACACAAATTTTCATAAAGATTGGTAAAGGCGTTTTAGAGTTAGAATTTTTTACTTATTAAGCGTTAATTTTAACGCGCAGTGTAGAAAATAAAACATAAATTAAATAAAATTTTAATTCGACAGCTATTAAATTAACTAATTTAATTTATTGATATTGATAAATAAAATTTTTCAATGATATTATAAAATAGGTAGGTAGGTATGAGGAGCCATTTGTTCCATAATTCTTTCATTTTGATATATAAAATGTCTTTCAGAAAAAACAATGTATAAGTAAAATTTACTATAATTTTGCATGTATAGGGTGTCCCAGAATATGTGGGCAATCTCCCGGATTTAAATAGAACACATCAAAATAATTTGTCAAGTTCTTATAATTTATTTTCCTAAAGGACACCCCTGGAATTTTATATAATATTAATTAATTTATTAATATAAAGAGCTGGTAAGGAGAAATCAAAAAGTTAAATGAAGTTTTTTCATATGAGTTTTTGATACTAGGATATTTGATATTGAAAATTTAAGATATTAGTTTTCAAATTTTAACAAATAATTGTAGACATTGTAGACATTTGAAAGTAACAACCTTGATTCATAATCACAAAATAAAATAGCAGTCAATTTCTACAAAATAATAGGACCTGAATAGATTTTATTTTTAACAACAAATATCTTAGTAACAACAACTCACATGAAAAAACTTTATTTCGCTTTTTGGTTTCTCCTTACAAGCTTCACATTAGACCTTAAAAAAAATATATTTATCAATTTTTAATTTTGCAAAATCAACAATTGTATTTTTTTGCGCACCCTGTATAACAAAATAGAAGTTTCTCATCCTGAATGTTATTTATATAACGAGCAGAAGAAATTATGAAGAGTGACTTTTCTTCAAAAAATTGAAAATAAATATTTTTATCTCCACGCGGTCTATAATTTAAACTTTATTGTTGTCAACATTCGATAAAGAAATACCTTGTTATGGCCTAGGCCGATAAAAATTTTTATGAGGCAAGTAATTAGTTCGATTTTTTCTCGCTAGGGGTATTGTTTTGACAAATTAATCCTTTTCTAAGAAATTAACGTACTAAACTGGTTTAATTTATTTATAATAAGCACTAATTTGTTTGTTTTACTGTTATAACATTATAATGTTTAATATTTTTCATTAAATTATTGTAAAATTAAATATGAATAATAAAATAAAAAGTGAGGTTAGGACATTGCAATTTGACGTTTCACAGTTGTGTTTTCTTTTTCTACGATTTAAATTATCTTTAAATTTTAATTTGCTTTAAGTTTTCAGTAAAATTAAATGTTAAACACAGCGTAAACATTCCAAACTACCTATTTTTTAATAAAAATGCAAACAAATTGAAATTAGATACCTATTAGGTACCTATTTATTGAACAATTAATTGAATTCAATGTAATAGCAAGAGGGTAAGTAAACCATTTTCTTACAAAAATCCATTTCTACTTAAATCATGTAGCTAGGTATTGCAAACTATTACTGCTTCTAAAAGGAATAATAATTATTGTACATTTAATGTAATCTTTAGCTAATAAATAAATGAGATTAAAAAAAGTGAGGTTATGCCACTTTCATGTTGAATTAAATTGACCTATATAAAGTGCTTTGAAGATAAAATGTTGTATGCCATTCGGCCAAGAAGTGTCTTTTTGTGCTTCGCTCAATTGTAGGCCTCCGCTACGCGTCGGCCTTCAAACTTTGAGCTTAGCACAAAAAGCCTTACTTCTTAACCTAATGACATAAATAACTATTACAAGTATAGTTTAGTCTACCGTGGACACACTGCATAATAGTTTTATTGTTTAGTTTGTTTAATTCAATGTTGGCTCCATGGTGGCCAATTTGGGGTTTTTATTTGACAACTAAACATAAATTGCAATTATTTGTAAATGCAATTTTGTAATAAATAAATTTAGAAAAAATATGTTGTTAACATTTCTTTATATTTGCTTATAAACAGGATATTTTATTTTATTGAAAACATTTTACCTATAAATGGCTTTAAAACAAAATATTTTATTTGAAAACCCATTATTTAAAACATTTAACCTAAAAACTAAAATTAAATTTTTCTTGGCCCTTTTTTCATATATTTTATTTGGTATTTGGTAAATATTATTTACTTTAAATCAATAGGAATATTTTATTTAATTGAAAACCTATATAAAAGTTTTTTTATCAATATTTTCTAGAAATGTTAATATTGTGGTATGGTTTTTTAGGTGTGATTTTCAAATTATTCGACAATTTAATCTAAAAATCGAATAATTTTATAAAAATTTTGATGCATTTCATAAGAGAATAATATTTAAATTAAAAATATCATTTAAATTCAAAGGCGGGAATGAACTAAGATGGCGGTAACTGAAGAACATACCTTGTTTTCTTGTACCATGGTACTACCTTTTGTATACCTGCTACATTTTTGTTAAAAAAAATTTTTAAAGAACATCTTTTTTAAAGATCCCAAACGATTTATGAAAAAAAAACTCTTCGATAATTTTTTTTTAAACTATTAGATTCATGGTTGAGTAGGTTGTCTTCTCACAAGAGATCAGTGTTTTAAACATTCTTACCTGTAATTTTGACCATCCTGTTGCCACCAAAGCCGACCTCTTCAATCAAATCGGCATTGACGAGACTTTCGGGCACAAAATGATCCAAGGAGGCGATCGGGCGGCATCCCAGCGTCTTGCAAACAAACTCGACGTCCTCCCTTTCGACGTCCTTCACGACCATGCACTTGATCTTGTCCAAAAAGTGCAGCGCCAGATCCGAGACGGCGTCTCTCAGAATCGACTTCTGGATCAGCAGCACGTTGCAGCCGGCCTTCTTGATCTGCTTGACGATGTTGAGGATGTAGGCGCGCTCCTCCTTCAGCACGCGGTCCATCTGCGCGTAGTCCGACACGATCACGTTGTGGTCCATGTCGGTTTTCGGGGGGGGAAATGCAGAACTGGATGAGCGCGATCTTGGCCTTTTCCAGCCTACGGGGGCCCTGCACGTTGGCCAACTTTTGGGGGAACACCAGACCGTCCACCAGCTCGGTGTCTTCGGTGGTGCCGCCCAGCTGCTTGATCACCTTTATGTCCGACAGGTTGCAAGCCTGCTCGCGACCCGTCTCGACGATTTTTAGCACCGCGTCGACGGCTATGGGCGCCAGAGAGGAGGATTGTTGCGACACCACTTTGGAGTTTAGCGAGGTGGAGGCGCTTTGCAGCAGTTGGTCGCGGTTTTTTAGTACCACCGGGATAGAGATTTCGTTTAGGATCTGCGAAGAACAATAAACATTGTTTTAAATAAGCATTTATGAGGCGCCGTTTGCGTCAGAAATAGAAGTGTAGAAAATAAATATAATATCTCTCACAAAATATAGAATGTAACTGAAAATGTATAGAAAACACAAAATAGGTATATAAAATATAATAAAACATATAAAATATAACAAAACAAATAAAACCAACAAAACATAACGAAAAAAAAATTCAACAAAACATAATATTATATAATAAAATAATAAAACAAATAAAATCCAACATAATATAGAAAATCAAACAAAACATATAAAAGCCAACAAAATATTAAAACTCGGGTTCCTCACTTGACCGTATTAGGAGATTTTTCGCCAATGCGGTAAGTTTTTAAGGTTTTCTTTAAATCCTTTTACTTTTTAATTTTAATTTATAGCTTTAATTGGAAACGATGGAGTTGAATCTGCCAAGGATGGATGAAGTTACAACATTTTTCAGGGATTTAATGCATGACTTCGCTGAAGGGGTTCTATTAAGTCAATGTCTGACGGTGCAACTTCTCGCGGCGATTTTGTTGCGGCGACTAGGTCGCCGCGATTTTTTGGTGGTCACACGATGCAACTAATCAGCTGATCTAACCTGTCTCAAAATAGAACATGTTCTATTTTCATGCAATAAGCTGGCCATACACAGACGTTATTTCGCGCGGTTTATCGTGGCGTGTTGGGATGTAGCGGTTAGTATGCACGAAAGAACGGCATGGCAAAAAAAGCGTCATGTTCCAAACACTTGATAAAGTATTAAAATGATTTAGCAAGTGATTGCCCGTGGTATATCAGTTTCAAAGGAAAAATCGTATGTGAGTGGGCAAAAAGTGTCATTATCGAGTCGTTTGAAACTGCATGTGATCATGTACAAATTTTCAACGTGAAATTTTGCCAAGCAAAGGTAAACCGTGACGCGGAATGTGGCGTGTGGACACGCCACACTCCAGAGAAAAGCACGTCTGAAATCCTTTCCCGTTCTATCATTTCGCGCGGCGATACTCACTCACGTACATGATTTTCCATATGTTTTTGCAGATAACACGATAAACCGCGCGCAATAACGTCTGTGTATGGCCAGCTATAAAATCGCCGCGACTTAGTAACTTTTTTAGGGATTTACGAATTTTCACAAAATTTTTTGGTTGGTACTCAATATTTATCAGCTGTGGAATGACATATGTGATTTGCGTGTGCTTTAATCTGAGTGTTTTTATTTTTACACCACAAAATACTTATAACTTTAAAAGAAAAACAAAATCGATTTGAATAAACATTAAATTTGTTTAGGTATTTTTATTTTTCAACTAAGTAATTTTCGGTTATGTTGGCAATCCTAGTAGAAAATAACGTCAGTTTGGTTGCACCGTGTGAACACCCTAGAGGCGAGAAAGTCGCTGCAACTAGTCGCCGCAACAAAGTCGCCGCGAGAAATTGCACCGTCAGACATGGACTTTAGTCTTCTTGAAACTTGTGCGTCGAGCGCCCTCAAACAGGGAAGTGAGGAACACGAGTTTTACTATTTTGTTGGCTTTTATATGTTTTGTTTGATTTTCTATATTTTGTTGGATTTTATTTGTTTTATATTAGGTATATTATATATTTTGTTGAATTTTATTTTTTTTCGTTATGTTTTGATGGATTTTATTTGTTTTGTTATATTTTATATGTTTTATTATATTTTATATACCTATTTGGTTTTTTCTATACATTTTCAGTTATGTTTTGTTGGATTTTATTTGTTTTATTATAGTTTTATATGTTTTGTTTGATTTTATTTGTTTTGTTACAGGTGTATTAGATAGTTAGTTGAATTTTATTTTTTTCGTTATGTTTTATGTTTTGTTTTATTTTATTTGTTTTGTTATATTTTATATACCTATTTTGTGTTTCTATACATTTTTTGTTAAATTCTATATTTTGTGAGAGGTATTATATTTATTTTCTAAGCTTCTATTTTGATGCAAAATTCTTAAACATAATTTATTAAACAATAGTTTTTTTTTTAATTATTTTGCATGAAACTATTTCCCAAAAAGAAAAATAAAAAACTTACTGAGCATAGTTTGACAGATTAAATTTATAGGTTGAGTGATATACGTCTAGATTATTTCTCGAATTAAAGGAAACTATTTGACAATTCATAAAATCTGACGTATGTGTCAAAATTTATAAATATTTTTTTAAAGAAAATTCCATTAATTTAAGGCATGTAATAAGTATTAATTGATATTTCGTAAACTAGATAACTTATTTTTTATTGTTTTTTAACAAATGTTTGTTAAAACTTGTAAATAACACCATAAAATCGTAAATTAAAATCCAATATGGAGGCTAAAATTTAATTGCTGTTAAATAGTTCTAGTGATTTATTCGCTTATTTAAACGAAATTTATTCGAAAATTCAAGGCTTTTGATTGGTTCATATTATAATGAGGGAAATAATCATTCTAAAAATTATTATTATTTTTTATAATTTAAAAAAATTTTTAAAATTATCTTTTTACAAAATGTTTATTCCGGTTTATTCAAATAAAAATATTGTAATTTTTTTGTTGGAGTGCATACTTAAATAAAACTTATATTATAAATTAATAATTATTTTTTTTAAATAAAGTTGCATTTTGTATATTTTTTCATATTTTTAATTTTATTTTAAAAATCCTGTTTATTCATTCTAAAATTACATTTAACGCAATTCTATTATTATTATTATTTATAGTTCAAAAAATTGTGTAAAATTATCTTTTATCTACTCCTACATTGAAGAGCTGTGACTTTATGGCGTTTTAGTAACGGGCTGAAGTTAACCACAGTGGCTTTTGGGCATTTTAGTCAAGTTAACTTTATTTAAAATTGCGAAAAAGTGAGGTTAAATTCGTCAAAGGTCAAATATTTATGAATTAAAATTGGCTTTAAATTTTTAGCATTTTGTATATTTTTTATTTTAATTTAAAAAATCCTGTTCTTTCATTCTAAAAATTACATTTAACGCAATTCTATTATTATTTTTTATAATTCTAAAAATTGTTAAAAGTAGTAGGTACAAAATGTTTATTTAAATAAAATATTATAAAATTCATTTTTTTGTTGGTGTGCATAAATAGGTAATAATTCAAAAATAGTTTTATTTTGAAATTCTGTTTTAAAATTATAATATTTTTTTTAAATAAAGTTTTTTTGTTTTTTATATTTTTAATTTTTTTTTAAATCCTGTTTTTATTATTATTTATAGTTCGAAAAATTGTTTAAAATTATTATTTGGTATGATTTTTGCATATTTTGAGGTTCATATGGATAATGCTTATCAAAAATGAACCAAGCACCAAAAACTTTTCTGGGCCTAGTAAAATTATTTGTAAATTAACTAATTTTTAATAATGCTCAAAAGGTTGATCATCATTTGGAACTTTTCTCAAAAGTATTGAGAGAATTCCCGAATCATTATTAATTTTTGGAGCGGCATTAAAAATGAGTTATTTTGCAAATAATTTTGTTTACCCCAGAAAAAGTTTTTGGTGCTTGGTTCCTTTTCGATAAATGCTATCCATATATAATAAAATAATATTTCCAGACTATTATTTTCATATTTGGAGTAAAAATGGTTGGTTACAACCTAGAAGGCCTTTAATATCTGCATAACAAAAAAAAATATCAAAAACTTACATTCACTGCATGAACAGCAGCTTTCTGGAAGTTATCTGAAATAACAGTAGGGTGAATACCCCTGCTGAGCAGTTTTTCTGCTGCATTTAAAAGAGCTCCTGCGATAACAACTACAGTGGTGGTACCGTCACCAGCCTCAACATCTTGGGCTCTGGACAATTCCACCAACTAAAAAATTAAACAATAAGCTTCAAATTCGCCCAATATTTTGGTAATATTACCATTTTCGCAGCAGGGTGAATAACATTTATTTGTTTTAAGATTGTAGCCCCATCATTTGTGATTGTAACTTCGCCGTTTGCTGATTGGATCTACAATTATACTTTAGGAATGTTTATTAATTATAATAAAGCCAAAATTACCATTTTATCCATTCCTCTGGGGCCCAAACTTGTTCTGATGGCATCACAAACAGCTGAAATTTCAAACACATTTTACAACAAAACTACAAAATGATTCCGGAAAATTTCAACGCAAATCACTAAATAACACCATAAATTCACTTAATCAACACAATTTACACCAAATACCTTCGTATATTCTCTAAAAACCTTTTTTGTTTACCTTTGGCGGCATTAATATTAGAACTCCTGACATCTCCGGGTTTGCTTTTGTCCTTGTAGGCGACATTTCTGCCTTTGCTTGCATCACCGGCGGCACTGGGGGCGGTCATTTTCACTATTTTCCGGGTTTAACTTTGTTTATAAAGGCCGATGTTCTCGGATTGAAAAAGTTCTAGAATTTCGCTACACCCAAATTATTTTAAATGACATATGACTAAGCTCTCTCGGTAATAAAGATACCTATGCTCAGAAATTGTAAGGTAGCACAGCTATCGTCCGATAGATGGCAGTGATGTATCTCTAATTTATAGTTTGGTTCCTTAGATTTTAACCAGGTTTGTTCCAACAGCCAGAAGAAGGAAAACAATATTTTTAGATTAAAATAAAATCTCTGTAGGTAGGTATGTAAAGTTTTATTTTTTCATTCAACTACAATTCTACTTTAATTATTTATATTTATGTCTTATAAAAACACGTAAAACTTAATTATTATTGTTATAAACAAGAATAAAAATCTAAAACATAAACAATCGGGTAAATTATTAATAATTTAGTGGGTAATAAATAATTTAATTTGTGAATATCACAGTTTGGATAACAGTAGTGACCAAGTAAAAAGTGCAACATTTACAACAAGGTGCTTATATTCTTAAAGTTAAAATAATAAATAAATTGTACTGGAAAGCCTCTAACGTTTGTTAAAAAAATCACAAGTTAAATTTTTAATTTTCTAGCCTCCTCCACTATCCCTTTGTGGTAGGTTTCACTTGTGGCTTCGCCTTCTTCAGCCACATTGTAACCGAAGTGTAAAATGGTTTCTTTAACGTCTTTTCTGCGATTTTTACTTTCGAACTCGTCATCTATGGAACCAACCCAGATAGCACAAGATGTCCTGAGGACATCCGGTTTAAATCCTTTACAGACGGTCGCGACCAGAAAACCGATGGACGTCCTGAGGCCTAGGCCTATGGACGTCCTAAGGCCTAGGCCGATGGACATCCTGAGTACGTCCATCGGTTTTTTGCCTGCGACAATAGTTGAAGATACAAGTTGATATATCACCCTTTATAAAGGCCTTTATAAAAGGTGATATATCAATTTGTATCTTCAACTATTGTCGCAGGCAAAAAACCGATGGACGTACTCAGGATGTCCATCGGCCTAGGCCTTAGGACGTCCATAGGCCTAGGCCTCAGGACGTCCATCGGTTTTTTGGTCGCGACCCGGGTCTAAGTGAAAAAAAATTACACCTTGTTTTTTATTAAAAATACTCCTTAATCAAGCACGATAAAAGATTTTAAAAAAAAGTTGTCAATTTTTTTTCACTTATATGTCTATAGATAGACCCTTTATCCACTTAAGTGGAATTGTGTCTTTAGTTGTCAAGTATTTTTAGCAATTGCAATTTTCCATATCTCTAACTTATTTAAAAATATCTAGTAAAATTAATTAATTCATTGCATTAAAAATATCATTACAAATTTTAAAAAATTATTTTTAATTATATTATATATATTAGGTATATTATATTTTTAATTTGTTGAATAAAAAATATCACATTGGCCAAATTAATAATTTGAATTAATAATATTATATGAGAAATGTATAATACGAATTAAAAATACCATTGGAGAAATTTCTCCACTTTAACATTTAAATTATTTAATTTGTCCTATAATATTTTTAATGCAATAAATTGTAAGAGTTTATTTCAAATTTACCGCCAAATAAACAGTTGGTATTGGAAGTAACCAGTTTAGTGACTTTAAGTTGGCAGTCTGAAATCCGCCATGTTGGCATTGTTCATAAAACAGCGTGTGCTGTTTTTAGTTAGCTCCCTGTTTAGTTAAATTTCTGTGTATTTAAATATATGATATAAGTGAAAACAACTTTTATTATATGGAAAAACCCCTACAAAATTTAAGTTTTCACTTGATATTTTTAAATAATTTAGAGATATAACAAAACACTTGTTAACACTGTATTACATTTCCCTATTATAATAAAACTATGTCCTAATTCGGTCCTCATATGTCCCGAATTGGACAGCTTGGGGTCAAATACGGACGTCCTGAGGACATCCTATTTCGGAAGTCTGTGGACGGTCAAATACGGACGTCCTGAGGACATCTGAAACAGTCTATTTCGGAAGTCTGTGGACGTACTACGAACGTACTTTTGCAGACCCCGGACATCCTGAGGACGTTCGGGTTGTCCTGGGTGGAAGTCCTACGAACGTCCTACGAACGTACTTGTGCTATCTGGGAAGTCCAGATTGGACCACGTGCTCCAAAGTTTGGAAGTTGCCAGATCTACCCAGCCTATGGTTAAATTCTTCCGTGTTGTCTTTTCTGTAGGTGTGCAGATGTTTAACTTTATAGGGAGATTTATCGTCATCAAATATTTCGTTGGTTTCTTGTACTGATATGCCATGAACTTGTTTGCTGGGTCCGTAAGTTTTTACTTTCGAATGGCCCTGGATGACGAAGTAGACTGGGTTTTTCGAAGCTTCCTCAGGTTTTTTAAAATATTGGAATATCGGATCCATGGTGGTGGTAGGAGTTGTGGTTGTTGGTGGTGGAGACGGGGTTGTAGTTAAAAACGTAGTAGGTTCAGTTTCGGTCACATAAACAGTATTTGTAGTGGTTTCCCATTCTTTGGTGGTTGCAGGTGTATCGGTGGTGGTACTTTTAACCACAACTGTGGGTGTTTGGCTAAGGAATTGAGACGTCTTCATTATATTCTTCTGTTTTTCCTTTATCAAGGCATTCAAAATTGGATTGGAAGAAGATTCTTTGTAAATGGGCCTACCAGTTGTTGGGGGGTGGCAATAAAGTCTGCATATTTTTGATGGTCTCCATTTCTGGATCCCTTACAGGGTGCTTCATGTTTTTGACACCCTCGACAGGGTGTTGCATGTGAGTGTAAATCTCCACCAAAGGCGCCGTATTCACGCTCACGTAATCATCATTACCGCTTAAAGCTGTGGAGTAAAACTCGGGTTTTTCTATTTTTACGTAGGTGTTATGCAGTTCCGCTGAGTTGTCTGATATGCTGCCCTTGTGGAGATTAACAGCGTTCTTCAGTGAAGGAGGAGTGACGTAGTTCAAATTATAGTTACTATCAGCACCAATAAGCGAGTAGTTTCTCGGCGAGAACTCTATGTGGATGAAGGATTCCGGCGGTTGTAGATTTTTGTTGAACACCAAGTTTTCTCTGTAGTTCTTCGTTGTAAGAACGTACGGTTTGATAGTGGAGGTCTTCCAGCTCGTAGAAGAACTAACCGTTGCGTATTGATTCTTGTTTAACCACTCCTTTTCATCGCTTAGACTGCTCGATTGATAAATCAGGTGAGATGGCTGGATGGTGACGTGTGGCGAAGTGCTGGGCATGAAGTTGTTTGTTGTTGATGTTTGGGTTGGGTTGTAGTTCATTGGAGGTGGCATTAACACAGTGTATGGGATATTCTGCTTTGTTTCGGTGGAAGTGTATTTACTTAAAGTGTTGAACAACGACTCAGGAAAAAAGGAGAACGTCGGTTTCGCTATTCTTTGATGTGGATTGTATTTGGGTTCTTTTTTATGGTACGGGTCGAGATTGTCTCTGCGCGAGTCAACCTTCAACGGCGGGGAAGCGGATTTTTTGCTCAACACCCCTAGAAGTAAAATTTCCGTTTTCTTGCTGTCTTCTGGTAGAGGAGGGTCGGGTTTTCTCATAGCAGGCTCCATCCAGTAGTGAACTTGGTCCAGTACAGGTGGAACATAGTCGTATGTAGGGTCGTTCTTGAGTGGATCACCTCTCCCTAAAGGCTTCCATTGATTGAAGTCCATACGAGGGGAAAAAGCGTTTCTTCCATGAATGTTTTCTAGAAAAAAATTAAATAAATGTATGATTTTTCTTCTAGACTGCGTTTCCTACCATTTTTAATTGAAGTACAGTTCCTATCGGCTCTACATTGGTCCACAATCTGGAGTAAGGTGATGCATATTCCAAAAAGGATCTTTGGTCGAGATTTTCGTTTCATTATCTAAAAAAAGTTTTGAGTGTTGGCAATGCATGTTAACAGTTTTACTTTTTTTTAATAATTGTGTCATTACATGGTTTTGAAATAAATAATAGTTTTTAAAATGATTAGGTACTGCTTCTAATTAGAACAAAAGAAAGTGACATCCTGTCGCTGGATCGATATCTCTTTCAGTTGTATTAGAACAAGATTTACGAGGTTTTTTAATTCATCTATTTATAAGATAAATCGGAGACCTTTTGTTGAATTTGCGTTATTTTTTAAGTAAATACCGCATATCTAAGACTAAATTATTAAATTATTTTATTTAAGATATATCTACTTTTTTTAATATAGTAACCTGAAATATTAAAGGAGTGTCCATGAGAAGCGCCGCAAGCTAGATTAAGTGTTATTACTATACGATGAAGAAAGTATTATTATATTTGGGATTACGTTGCAATAGATTTTATAAGATATTGTGAGTAAATAAATAAATTAAATGTCTAATATTAATTTTTTTTGCATTTAAAAAAAAGATAATTTCTAATTTCTTATTAAAGAGGCGATTTTTGAATCTTATAGGAGTGTTATATTTAACCTAAGTATCGAATTAAAACATTTCATATGTTCCTTTATTTTCTTACGAACCAACATAAATCTTAAGAAACAAGGTCCATTTTAAAGCATTATGTTAACCAAGCTACAGTTCACTTCCTTATTTATAAATAAGGATTTAAAGATTTATAAAATAGGTAGGTACCTATAGGATTTAGTTTAATCTATAGTAATGATTAATACCCAACGGAATATTGGTAGTTGGTCAAATAATTCGTAATGATTCCTAGAGCTATGGGTACCACGAATATTTATTTCATTCATGACCGAATTTAAAAAATTATAAAATTAATAGTCGATTTCTTAAGAGGTTGCCAGCCTAACCGACCTAAACCTTGATATATCAGTAGGCACTTTTAAATAACAATACATTTAAAAAAATCTTTTTTGACACCCACCTACCTTTAAATTTTTGTTAGGTTTTGTAGTATTATATTTCATAATGATTAAATCTTAGATATCACATGTTCGGTAGATTAATGTTTGGTTAAAATAAATAAATTTGAATGGTCGAAATAAATTTAAAAAATGTGTTTTATCCTTTTATACAGGGTCTCCTGAAAACTGCTTATTAAATACCATCCGATAGAAAATTATAAAAAGTTGTTTTAAACTGAAATCTAACACATAAAAAAATGATTATGGTGGTGTTATATGGTCGACAGATAAAATACAAACACCAAATAGTTTTAAAGTTAGACTTCCAGGCACTTAAAAAATAAAAAAGGCACTCAGGCAAATAAAACTAATTTAACAAAATATCCATGCATTTTTATGGTTTTGTTGGTTTATTTCGTGAACGTATTAAACAAAAAATTGAGACGTAATGCCCATCGTTGTGTATTGTTCAATGTTAAAATACAATGGTGGTTTGTTCTGCATCTAAATTTAAAAAGGCATTATGTTTTCTATTACAGGCAAGCATTTATATACACTCACAGGCAAAATAATCGATCCACACAAATTTTCGATGAATTTTAATCGCAAATAAATTTTTTATTTGATGTCGGATTTAAACGAATATTAAAGAATATGGTAGATAAATTAATGGAGAATCGCTCACATTTAAAAAAATACTAAAAAATAATGTACGTTTGAAATATACAGGTTTAAATAAAAAGAAGTTTTTTACCATAAGTTTAAGAGTTTTAATTATCAAGTCACATATATTCTTAACAGTTTAGTTTATGGTTTACCTCGATATATTTGTTTTTGTGGAAAATATGCAAACATTGCAATTTCCAATATTTTTTCTGTACGAAAAACTAAGGTTGCTATGGTCCATTCATAGGCTATGGAGGATGACAGTGACAGTTTTGTTGAATCATCCCATACTTGGTCATATACGGCTTTCAAAAGCAATCAAATTGTTTTTTGCAATTTAATGTTTAACATTTGATGTGTCTTCTTACTTTTAAAAACGGATTTGTCTCCGACTGATATTGCCAGAGCCATTGATTTAATCCGGGATGGACGGTCACAGTATTACTTGGCAAGTGTTTTAAACGTCACAAGAAGTAAAGTACAAAGGGCAACATCAGTCCGAGACATATCCATTTTTAAAAGTAAGAAGACACCTCAAAATTAACACATCAATTTACAAAAAACAATTTGATAGCTTTTGAAAGCCGTATATGACGTCCAAGTAGGGGATATCCCATATCATATGATTCAACAAAACTGTCACTGTCATCCTCCATAGGATGGACCATAGCAACCTTAGTTCTTCGTACAGCAAAAATATTGGAAATTGCAATGTTTTTTATTAAAAATCCATATTTTCCACAAAAATAAATATATCAAGGTAAACCAAAAACAAAACTGTTAAAAATAGATGTGACTTGATAATTAAAACTTAATTTAGAACAATATACGGTTTTGCCACTATACAGAGTGTCTTAAACGTATGGTAAAAACCATATTTTTGTTTAAACCTGTATATTATAAACGTCCGTCTATTTTTTAGTAATTTTTAAAATATAAGCGATTCTCCATTAATTTACCTACAATATTATTTAATATTTGTTTAAATCCGAAATCAAATAAAAAAGTTATTTGCGATTGAAATTGATCGAAAATTTGTGTGGATCGATTATTTTGCCTGTGAGTGTATTTAACAATGGCAAAAAGTGTCTAAAACATATTTAGCACTATTCAAGTTTTTTTCAAGCGTCTATGGAAAATATTTTTTTTCTACCCATGTAAAAATCCAAAAACTTAAATTAAAAAAATAAAATAAACTTTTGGAGACCCCAACAGGCGATAAACAACGAACCTGATTTAAAAAACTTATAAAATCAAACACCTATTAAAATAGTAAACATGTACTAATAATTAATTTGAAACATGCAGATGTAGCTAATTGGATTAACATTGATATAATCACAGTTTGTCACGAATGTTACCTGTTGTTAGTAAAAATATTAAAAGGTTAAATAATCGTCTAATTTCAAAAGCGGCCATCTCCAATTTTTTTTTAAATGAGTTATTTACACTAATAAAATCGAAATATTACGTAGTATATTAGTGCAAAATTATATCCCAACAAAAACGGCTATTTGCAAGGAAAATAATTCATTAAAGTTTTATGTTAGTTTTAATAACGGCCATCTCCATTGATGTTTTAAGTACAAAAATGTACTTAAAATGCCCATTTTCCTTTTGAAATATATGTTTTTTTAATTAAAACTTAAGTTTTTCAAAATATATTTATTTTTTACCCATTACTGTTTAGAATGTTTTTTTGACGTTTACTTAAAATATTCTTCAAAGGAGATGGCCGCTTTTGAAATTAGACGATTTAATTATTGTTTTAGGTTATTATAAATTAGTATTATAATTTAAAATTGCAGTAACTCTAATATACAATGTGGTTCATTGTGATTGGCGAAATTTCGGTATTTAAAAATTGAACGAGTAAAAAAAATAATAATTTCAGTTTGTATTAGGTACTTAAAAAGCTCTATATTTAGCTTTCTGAATTTGGCATACCCAAAAACCCCTAAAACGATAACTTTGTAATACAATTTTATACAGGTTGGTCAAAAAGTATGGTTGGATAAAAACAAATTTATTATCTATTATTCATAAAGGGACATATGAAAATGTTTTTTTCTTCAAGTACTACAAACTAATAACTATTTTTTATATCGAATTATTTTTAAATACATTCCGAATTGTCGTCAATCAAAATGAAACACACTGTGTTTAAAAAAAGTCATACTGGTTTTATCGACTGTCGCCAATGTAAATATTAATGAATCGACATCTATAATTGCTAATTATAATTATAGAAACTTACGGAAAAAATGTTTTTGTGTGTGGTGAATTCCAGATGCGTCCGGGTGTTATCCGAAACATAGAACAAAACACATCTTAGGAAACGTTGTCGATAACACTTTATTTATTGACTATCGAGTATCGATCGGCTGTGGCTTTGCTCGGCTACCCGCGAACACTAACCATAGCGCGGCGGAGAATTGTAGACGTAACTCCCTCTTTGTTTTCACCACACATATGTTACCACTTCTCGGTAACGACTCTTTCATTCACCGAAGACTCAGACCGCAGACGTTCTTATCTTATTTCAAGTGCTAATGCCATGGTTAATTATCCCGGCAAAGAAATGACCATGTCTTTGACGCGTCGGTGATGTGTACGATGACACTGCCCTATAAATTACGACATACACTTTATCATTATAAATTTGCGGTAGTTTTGATGTAAAAAATACGGGGTTTCCTCATTTTCTTTTCACCCTGTTTAATATAATATACCTGTTTCATTAAAAAAGACTATTTAGTGTTTTTTACCGAAACTACAAAATATTGCTCAAAATATCGAAAAAAAATCCCTTAATTTTGACTTTAAAAATATGTGAAAAAGTAAAAAAAAAATGACATTCAGAGCTGATAGCATCAAGGTGAATCAAGTTAGAGAAAAATTCTTAAAGGCACTTTTGAAAAGCGTTAAATACTCTGTAAGTAACAATGAACCACAATATGAAAAAAATTATAAAAAAAGTGATGCTTTTTAATTGGGAAAAATTCAAAATCAAAAAGGAATTAAAATGAAGAGCTCAAACTTTGAGGGAATTTTTTTTCGATGTTTTTTTGAACAATATTTTGAAGTTTGGGTGAAAAACAAAATATTAATCGTTTTAAATTAAACACCTCAACTTCTTTATAGTATAAAAATATATTTTTATACACAAAATTAAAAAAAATATTTTCGCATGTTTTAATTCATATTTTTTATTATAAAAACTCTTATATCATCCAAAATTTTCAAAAAATACACGAGTACATTTTTTTTAGGTTTGATTCATGTCTCCCGCACCTAACTTGGTGTCACTTAAATCGTTGTAACTAAAAATCTTCAATTCGGAGAAAAATCTCACTTAG